TGGTCCCTGTCTTTTCTGACACCCTTCTTAGAAGACACAATGTTGAAAAGTCCAGTTGAGGGCATTTATCAGTATTTCTCAGAATTTGAAGTCAGCAAACACTTCAACCTGGCAATCCCACATCTAGGAGTTTAGGCCCCATGAGAATGTACACTCATGCACACAGTCAGTGGCGTGAACCCTCACAGTGGTGTTGGTACTAATCAAAACTAGAGACTTTAAATGCCCATCTCTCTGGTTCTGCACAAGCAGTAATGGTGTGTCCACACCCTGGGGTGTGTGTAGGCAAAGAAGCCACAAGGAGCTATCTTTCCCTATCGAATTGGCAAGGATATAAAATGTGGGTCTCCGTGCTCTCATTAGCAGCACAATGCAGAGCCTCTGGTGGGCAGCCTGTGGTTTCCACCCACTATGGGTGCCCTGTGCCCCACAGTCTTACCCCTCGGTCTGCTCCCAGTGTGACGCAGCATCTGGCTGCACCAGCACACGTGTGTTCGCACACCGCCCTGGGCTTTCTCCACCCCTGCCTTCTGAGATCATCTCTTCCCCCCGCTCTCCCTCAGCCCAGCCAGCAGGCAGGAGCTGCAAGGCTGTGTCTTGTTCTCTGCCCTCTGCATCCCAGCAGCAGGGCTGGCACAGGAGCACGGGCATCCCAGCATCTGTGTGTGTGAGCTCAGGATGCCAACTGTCCTGAGATGACTGTTGGTTGCCAAAGTCTCCCCCACACCACACTCCCACCCAGCACAACTGGGGTGGTGCTCTCCTCTGGGTCACCCTGCACCTGGGCCGTGCTTTTGCCCACAGGGGCTGAGGGCTTTGTTCTGAGTCCAGGTGGTGCCCACAGGCCTTGCCCAAGAGCAAAGCTTCTGAGGTCTCACAGGACCTGGGATGGTGGCCGGACAACAGACAGATGGCATGAGGTAGACATGGGCTTCCAGGTGCCACGGGCAGGGGTCCCAACCCCCCCAAAACAGCAATATAAAGAGGACCCGAGGGCCCAGGCATCACTGCATTGCCTCCCACCACCCAGTGTATGCAGGCTACACAGAGGGCCAATGAGGGGAACGGCTTTTATTGGTGTTCAGAGGCTGAGAATGACACTGCTTGTTGCAGGACCAGCCCCTCAGGAGGGATGTGATCTGAAGCAGGAATGCACGGTGGGCAGCCATCAGGGCACCCATGGGTCAAGGTCAGGTCTGGAGGAGCCCTGTGAGCATCTCAGACCCCCAGGCCTGGGCGGAGTTGGGGGCAGAGAGGCTAGTCTTTCCGCTGTGGCTGAGCTGTAACTGGGTGGGGTGGGCCCAGGAGGCTGGGAGGCCAGGGCTTCCAGAGGCTGTGGGGAGGAGGAGCTGGTTCAGTGACGTGTTCTGTCAGCAGCGATGGGGCGGCGCAGCAGGGACACGCAGGGGACTGGGTGGCAGCAGGACAGGGGGAGGGGAGCTGGCAGCACAGGATGAGGGACTGGGCGTGGGTGCTGCTCCAGAGCAGACGGGCACACAGGCTTGCAGCAGGCCTGCTGGCACAGGGAGGAGGTGCAGCAGGAGGGCTGGCAGCTAGACAGCTGGCAGCAGGAGGGTGTGCACGAGCTGGTGCAGCCCGACTGGCAGGGGCTGCACCTGCAGCTCACGGGGGTGCAGACGAGGCTCAGGCAGGGGCCTGGGGTGCAGCAACTGGACTGGCAGCAGCTGGGGATGCAGCAGGGGGGCTCGCAGCAGCTCTCGGGGCAGTTGTCCCCCTGCCAGGAGGGGCCGGTGCAGGAGCACCAGGACCCAGGCAGGCAGACCCGGCTGCCGTAGCTCAGGTCACTGGAGTAGACGGACAGGGTGGAGGCGGCCATGGTGGGTGGTGGGCTGGAGGAGGGTGTGTGTGTGTGTGAGTGTGTGAGTGTGAGTGTGAGGTGCCTGGGCTGCGACTTTTGTGCCCTCCATGGCCTGTCCCAGCAGCAGGCTCCCCTGTCACCTCAGGGCAGGTCCTGAGAAGCGTGAGGTGGTGTGTCTTCTGGGATGCTGGTCTTCCCCTGGACCCGGTGCTGCCTGGGGGCTTTAGTGATCTGGCCGGCTGTCTGACCTGGGTCTGTGGGCTGCTCTGGTGAGCTGGACAGGCGTGGTCACCATGCTGTGTGGTGCCGCTCCCTGTGTGCCCTCCCTGCCAACCCCTCCCGTCCCTGTGCATGAGCTCCTCCATCACAGGAGGGAGCTGGGCCCAGGGCTCTGGTCAGAGCAGGCCTGGGCTCCAGCACTGGCCCTGGGAACAGGGCTGGAGGGGTCCCAATGTCCTGAGGTGGAGGGACACCAAGTCTGGAAGGTGCCTTGGGCAGAGGGAGGGAGGGGCCAGGACAGGGCAGAATGGCTGGGCCCTGGGAGGGTGGAGGGCAGCCCCTGGCAGGGTGGGCTTGCATTGCTGAACCCAGTCTAGAGGTGCCACTGTTATACTGTCTGCCCCTCTCCTGGCCCCACCTGGCTGAGCCCTGCCTGCCCTCCCTGTGGACACGGATGTTTCTGGTGTGATCAGCATGTTGGCATCTGCTGGGGGCACATGGCTCTGCTGCTCAAGCACACGGCGGCCAGTGGCGTTTTGCCCCTCTCCTGGCCCCACCTGGCTGAGCCCTGCCTGCCCTCCCTGTGGACACGGATGTTTCTGGTGTGATCAGCATGTTGGCATCTGCTGGGGGCACATGGCTCTGCTGCTCAAGCACACGGCGGCCAGTGGCGTTTGGTACCCACAGGTGATCCCTTGGAGACCAGGACTCACAGGGCACCTACAGCAGCATTGGGGGACACAGGGGAAGAGGGGACGCATGCCAGGTGCTCACCTGTGTGTGTGGGCAACTTTCCTGAGGTTTGAAAATTTTCAAGGGAAATAGTTGGGTGTAAAAGACTTTTACTATGGAATTAGTGACATCTGATTAATCTGGTGGCAGATCCCAGGTTAAATCCACAGCAAAAGTTTTTTTTAAAACATCCCCCAACTGTCTGTTTCTTCACATAAACTATTGAGGTGCACATCCCCAGACGAGAGACTCTCTTTGTGCCTCAGACCCTAGAGGAAGCATGTTTCCCCCAGCAGCTGGCTGCCAGGGGTGTGACACTCTGTGCAGTCTGCACGTGTGCCTGCGTCCCTCAGACGCACTCACTCCCACTGTAAAGTACTGTCGGCTTATTCACTCTTGCTGGTGGATATTCAGGTCATGTCTAATTTTTCACGGTAACAAACAATGCAGCTTATACACAAATGCAGGCGATTCTCCAGAACTGCCAGGCCGGGAGACAGGAGAACGTCCAGCTGGCTAAGGCACTGCCCGATTCCTCCAAGAGGGACTGAGCCCACTCGCACTGCTGGCCCTGTGAGCTGCAGACCCCACTCTCTGCACCTGCCCACGGTGCTGCCGTCTGACTGTCCTGACCAGGGCGATAGGTGGGATGGTGCCCTCTGCGGTTTTCACCAGCATGGGCTGATTTCTGGCAGAGCTGATGCCTTTCAAGGCCGCCCAGCTGAGGTCATTGCATGTCAGTAGGTAGTCATGCCTATTTTCTACTGGGGCTTTCACCTTCTTCTCTGATTTATATATTTCCTCCCAAGTATCTCCCCCACACTTTGGTTTGCCTTTCGTGCCTTCTGGGTGTTGTCCTGTGTTCGTGAGAAGTCACTTTAGCATCTGTGCAATCCTAGGTACCCATACTGTTTGAGGGCTGCTCTCCATGTCTTCTCAAAGAAGCCTGTATGGACCCCCTCTAAATGCCTTGGTGAATGGGACCCACTGTGTGCCCACAGTCCCAGGGCAGAGGGACAGGAGTACTGTTCCCAGAGCCCCAAGCCCAGCCCAGACGGGAGCCAGCACTGGGGCCACCACCAGCCCTGGAGGGGGTCGCCCCTGTGTGGTTGCCCCATGTCGCCCAGTGCTCTGGAAAGCTGTGGGGTCAGTGTAGGCAGTCCGGCCTGGCCCTGGCATGGCTCCCTGTCCTCCAGCCGGCCCTGGTTGGTAGGTGTTCTGCTGGGGACCAGGAAGGGGGCAGAGCCAGCATGGACTCCCGCACCAGGAGTGCCGGGAGGGCCGGGCTTGTGCCCCTCAGCAGGCAAGATCACCACAGTGGAGCGCATAAGTTTATTAGCTCCCCAGCAAGGGGTCTACATGGCTCTGTGGGTACAGGGGGTCAGTGAAGACAGAAACGTGAAGCCATGACTCCTTGTCCCTCAAGTTCCCAGATGAATCTGGACCTACAGGGGGGTCCTTGGGCAGCACATGGGACCCTGTGGGCCCTGCCACCCCCTGAATATCTTGTTTCCACACCTGGTCATTCCCCCTGTGAGCTGGGAGCAGCTCCTCCCTCCCTCATCACGTTTCTGCTCATTGGCAGAACCCACGGGGTGTCCACAAGGGGCCCGCAGAGCCTGTGCTGTGTGGAGCCCCCGGCCCTACTTCTTGGCAGGTGACTCTGGGGCCAGTTTTCCCAAATGGGACAGTGGCAGGAAAGGGCCCAGGGCCAAGAGAGCCCCCAGACCACAGCAAGGCTCAGGCGCCCAGGCTCAGGGAAGCCTGGGAACAGTGGCCTCCCTGGGCGACGGTTGGGGTTCCACCTGGGGGCCCTGCCCCGAGCAGTTAGCCGTGCCCTCTGGGAGCTCCCAGCCTTGGTCCTAGAAATACTCATGGCTGGAGGAGACAATGTCTGGCCAAAACCCTGAGACCCCCCATCCCCAAGAGTGTCCAAGGAAAGGAGGCAGTGAGGTGGGGCAGTGGGTTTACTGGGGAACCGAGGTTGGAAGTGGAGGTCCAGGGACCCGAGGAGCAGAGACATGGGGAAGGAAGGACAGGTGACCCAGAGGTGGTGGAGGTGCCTCCTGGGAGGCAGGGGTCAGAGGTCAGGTCAGGATGGTGGACACAGGGGGCGACCCTGTCCTGAGGGGGGCAGCCGCCTAACACAGGTCAGGACCAGACTGAGGGGAGGCTCGGAGGGCCAGTCCCAGGGTGGGCCTGAGTCCTTCTGGCCTGGGGATTGAGTGGGTCAGCAGCAGGCAGGGCGGGTGTACGTGGGGCAGCAGAGCAGGGACATGCAGGAGGAGGGTCTGCAGCAGGACGGGGGGTAGGGGGTGGGCTGGCAGCACAGGGGAGCTGGGCAGGGGGCAGCCCCAGAGCAGACGGGCACACAGCACATGGGCTTATAGCAGATGGGCTTACAGCAGACGGGCACGCAGCAGGCCTGCTGGCACGGGGAGGAGGTGCAGCAGGAGGGCTGGCAGCTAGACAGCTGGCAGCAGGAGGGTGTGCACGAGCTGGTGCAGGCTGATTGGTAGGGGCTGCACCCGCAGCTCATGGGGGTACAGACGAGGGTCAGGCAGGGGGGTGGGGTGCAGCAGCTGGGCATGCAGCAGGGGGGCTCGCAGCAGCTCTGCCCGGCTGCCACAGCTCCCGTTGCTGGAGCAGACAGACAGGGTAGATGCACTAATAATGCAAGTCCTGGGGCAGCCGGTGTTGGCCATGTTAGAGGTTTGTGCTGCCAGTTGAGTAGCTGGAGGTGTCAGTGTTGGGGGTGAGTGGGGTGCTCTGGGTGTCAGGGCTTTTAAACCCCTCTCTGGGGTGCAATGCCTTCCCTTTTCTTGTTATTACTCAGAGTGTTTCCTGACAACTCTCATTAGTCTATTTGCTATGAGATGTTTGTAACACTGTCCCCATGACTTTTGAGTGTGTCTGGTATTGGCTGGTCAGGTGTGTCTGAAAGCAAATGCTGAGATGCATTGTCTGTTGGTTGAATGGCTCATGAGTTAGATATGTTTGTGAAACCCTTGGATCCTCTTTCCATTTTTGCTGCGTCTTTGTAAATTCTGGCCTCAGCAGATGTTCCACATGTGTCCCAGACCTCCTTCATTTGGCTTGGAGAGTTCCCCCCTCTCCTGTTCCATGTACAGACTCAGACGGGACCCTGTGGCCTCTGCCATCCCCTTACTATCTTGTTTCTGTGCCTGGCCATTCACCCTGTGAGCTGGGAGCAGCTCCTCCCTCCTCCCTCTACAGCCCTTCTGTGTGCACAGTGCTCCCAGTGTCCATCCCAGATGCCATATTAGTTCCCCCATTTATCTCACAATTTCCAAATAATGTGCATATTCTGTTATTTCTTGAGTTTTGGGTTTTAAAGGTGAGCTGGTTTTCTGATATGGAGGAAAGCACTCACTTGTTTTCCATCAGCCCCATAAAAAGTTCCTCTCATCCCAGCTTTGGAAGGCAGTAACACCCCAATATTTGGTTAAATTTGTGTCAGAATCTGTATTATTTTAATCAAGTGAGTATTGCTGATAGCCAGGTCTGTGTGATGGAACCAGATTTAATTTTCTTACCTATGCATATTTTGTTTTTGCTAGTGTTTTTCCTTTCTTAGAGTTAACAATTGCTTCCTGTGTTTGCTTATTGTTTCTGTGTATCTATTATTAAACTGTGCCCAAACTCTCTGACTTATTTATCCACAAGCTCCACTCACTCAAAAGGTTCAAACATAGCATGCAATCCATCAGCTTTATTCATTTTTTGGAAACATCTCTCCCAGAGTCCTTTTTATTTGTGGGCTGATACCTGTTGGCTCTTCCCCCAGTTGGATCCCTTCTAGGGATCTCCCTTCGCCATTATCTTTGGGTTTTCCTTTATCTTTCTCCTATCATGGATGTCTTATTTCCTGAATGCTGTGTCTTTTTTTCATCTGGGTTTTTGCCCTTGTTTTGTTGGAGCACACCCTCTAGTAGTTTTCTGAAAATGGGTGCATGGGACCCATTGAACATAGCATAACTAAAAATGACTTTGTTCTGCCCTTATGCTTGACTGATAGTTTAGCTGGGTATAGCCTTCTGCATTAGAAATTTTCCCTTAGGAAGTGTCATTGAATATGTAGAATGTCTTCAGAATTCTAGGTATTCCCACATGCTCTTTCTCAGTCAACCCTCCTCTCCAAGGAGCCTTCACCACTCCACCTTCTCTCCCCGTTTAGTTTCACCTGTTCCATCTACTCTTTTGCATATGGCTCTTTTTGCTCAACAAAGCATGGTGTGTGATAAGCACCTGTGTTGCTGCCTGCATCAGCAGTTCATTCTTTGTTTGCAGTGCTGTAAATCATTGCACCAAACCATGCTACACATTATTTATCCATCCTCTTTCCCAGTGATGGAAATTTGGATGATTTCCAGGTTATTAATAATGCTGCTATAAAAATCCTTGGATGTTCTGTTTTTGATGGATATATTTACGAATTTCTCTTCAGTGTACACATGGGGGTGGAATGGCTGGTCTTAGATAGGCATACATCAGTTTAGCATATATTATCTGACAACTTTCTAAAGAAATTTATATTTCCACTAGTCAATTTTATGAATTTCAGTCACTCTATATCCTGTATAACATGAGGATTATCACTCTTTTCAAATTTTATCCATTTTGGAAAGTATCTAGGAATACCACATCAATTTGCATTTCCTAATGAGAAAAGCTGGTGATTGAACATTTGGATATCTTCCCTTGCTTTTAAAAAAATAGGGTTATTTGTACTTCTTATGACTTACATAAATTTAGTATATATTCTAAGTATGAGTTATTTGTTGTATATATGCAGTGGTGTGCTGGTAACTGTTTAATAACTGGCTCTCTATAAAGCAAAAACAAAAAAGCCCTGACTTGTTGCATTTACTGATTTCCATGGTGTAAATTCTCCTACCATAGCTACCAATATGAAGTTGCTGGTGTGCATGATTAGCTCTCGCGGGATGGCACAAGTGAGCTTCCGCATGCCTCTGGATGTGAGCATGACACAGAGTGCATCCACGTCTGGGCTTGTTTTTCTCATCCTCTTGATGGTGTCCTTTTTAAAAAGTCAACCTAACTGAGGTATGATTTATGTACTGTAAAATCCACCCATTTCAAGTTTGTATTTATTGAGCTTTGGTAATGGATACACCTGTGTGATCAATATCATAAGCAACATATAGAACCTTTCCATCACTCCCCAAATTTCTAGTGTGTTGTTTACAGTGAATCACACCCACTCCCCACCCTGGGCCCAGGAAACCACAGGTCTCCTTCTGGTCTAGGTTAGATCTGCCTTTTCTAGAGTTTCCCATAAACGGCATTACATATTATGAACTCTTTGGTGTGACTTCTTCCTCCCAGTATATTGAGATATATAAATGTGTGTGGGGTCTCAGCGTGGGGTTGCATTATCAGTGGTTAGCTTCTTTTTGTGCTGAGTAGTATTCCATTGTGGGGATATGTCACACTTTGTTTATCCATTCAGCTGTTGATATGGCCAGTTTGAAAAAAAAAGCTCTGAACGTTTGTGGACAGTTGTTTGTGTGGACATGTGTGTTCCCTCCTCTTGGGTAAATAGCCAGGAGTGGAATGCTTGGACCACATGAGAGGTATATGTTTAATGTTTAAGAGACAGCCAAACTGTTTTCAGAGTGTGTGTGCCATGTTATATTCCCACTGGCAGGCGTGTGAGCATTCAGTCCCACGTCCTTGCTGATGCGCGGTGGAACCTTTAACTTGAGGCACCCTCATGGGCGTGTTGTGTGTGTGCATGGTGTCCTCGGGTGAATACAAGATTTTAGTGTGAATGACATCCAATTTATTGATTCTTTTCTTTATGTTTAATGTTTTTAATGCCTTAGTTTCAAAGTCTCTGCCTACCACAGCCATCATGAGACATTCCACTGCATATTCTTCTAGATCCCCATTATTTTACTTTTCACGCTTAGCTCTGTGACCCACCTGCAATTAATTTTGTGTTTGGTGTGAGCTAGAGGTCAAAGTGTTTTTCCCATACAGATAGGCAGCTGCCCAGTACCATACCCGCCCAGGCGGCAGTGATCCCCAACTGTGAGTCCCTGGCAGTGGTGGGGGGGACTGCTCCTCGTCTGTGTTTGTACCGACACCCGGACCTCGTAAGCACTGCAACACACACTGTTTGCCCATCTTTGCAGTTTCTTCTGTGGTCACTAACTTATTCATGTGTTTTTTTTACCTTTCCTGCATTGATGTCAGTGGTATTTTCCTAGAAACTGATCCCCCTCACCTGTAAATTTTTATTGTGTTGACTTCACGATACACATTTTTCTCATAATTTAAAATTTTCTCCATCTTCATTCATGTGCCTGTTTTCATATTTAATGTTTCTTACCTCTTTTAGATTTGCCAACATTTACATTCTTTTATAGGTCTTCAGAAAGGATGTTTGGTTTTATTGGTTCTATCCATTATTTCTTTATTTTAAACACATTAATTTTATTAATTTATTTTACTTCCTTTTGGGAAGTTTTTTTAACTTTCTAAATTGAAATCTTATTTATTTTCAATCTTGCTTATTTGCTACTGTATGACTTTAAGGGTTTAATTTATTCCCTGCATACTCCTTTACCCAAACCCTACACATTCTGAGGTGTAGTACTTCCTTCATTTATTTCCTAAGAGCCTTTTATTGACTTTCTGTTTTCACCTCAGCTTGAGCAAGTGCCTTTGCATTTTCCCAAAGAAACTTTCTTTTTATTGTTATAAGCTTATCTTAGTGAATCTGGCTCAGGAATGTGGTCCACATGACATCTTTTTACCTTTCTGGATAGTATTTTTATTATGAAATACTATAGAAAGTACAAAATATAATGTAATAAACACGCATATATCTATGAATCAACATGAACAAATCTGAGCATTCTGCACTATTTGCAATCACAGGCCCCCGAAGCCCCCGCCCTCTCTCCCACTCTGCCCTCGGGGCGCCCACTGTTCTGAGGCTGGTGTGTACAGTCCCATATGTGCTTCTGTAGGTTAAACAAAGACGTTTGTAGCCATGAATACACAATATTGCTTTGTGTTTCTGACCTTTAAATGTGCATTATTCTCTATGTATCAATCTGTACCAGGATCTTGAAATCTCAGTGTTGATTCTGAGATTCATCTGTATTGATGTTTCCCTGGTTCAGTTGTTTAGCCACTGTGTGCTCCTCCTTTCTGGGCACCCACTGTGGTTTAAAGATCCTATCTCCTGCAGAAGGGCATTTACCCTGTTTTTAAGGTCAGACCTTGCCCAGGAGAGCCCTCCCTGGGTGTAAGGTCACCCAGGCTCTGCTTTTCCGGATGTTATCAACAGCACAGAGCAAATCTTTTTTCTACACTCCAGGCTGTGCTTGTTACCAGGCAGGCATTTTTACCAATCTGATGATGGCAGGGTCCCCAGGAGCACCCTAATTTCAATGATCCACTAGAACCCCCAGGACTCAGCACGTAGAGCAAAATTGGCCCAGGGGCAGGCATGGTGGAGAGGCCATGGCACCCGACCCAGAGCCTCTCCCTGTGCAGGACACACTCGGCTCCCTGGGGGGCTGAGACAAGGGGGTGTCAGCTGGCGTTCGCCAGGGACTTGCAGAGATCGGTGTCTGAGTGACTGGGTGCTGGGCAGCCGGGCCCCTCTGCCTGGCCCCAAACTCTCGACGCCAGAGGGAGAGCTGCCGTGGGCACGAGCCAGGTGCTTGTACACAGCTGGGCCCAGGAGCCCTCCTCCCATGGGGGCCCTCCCACAGTCCCCGTGCCCCGACATCACCGGGTCCTGGCCTTGCGAGCAGGCCTGAGGATGGTGTCCCAGGCCCACTGACCCCTTTCTGCACTCGACCCGCGGGGTTCATGCTTCTGGAGTGGGAGGGCTGGAGACCCTCTGGGGTCAGGGGAGTCACCCCTGAACAGGGGTCCCTCCCCAGGGCAGGCATCACTGTCAGGCCATATCCTTTGTGTCCTTGGAAGTCGTCCATCCCTTGCACATACATATGCCCAGGGTCCTGGGGTTTCCGGGGTCTCCTTTGAAAGGGCAGAGATGTGGTGACTCTGGGGAATGATCCTGGGCCAGCCTCATGTTGGAGAATATCAGGCCTGAGTCTTTGTTGTAAACAATAGAACTGCATTCAGGTACTTTCCTCAGGAAAGGAATTTATTGGAAGGGACTGACAGCCCCCAGGGGCCACACCAGGGTCCGGGGCAATGGCCAGGAGCAGCCGCGAGTACATCATCTCCTCCCCTCCGCGTAAGCCCCAAAGGCCTGCAAAGTCCAGCTGGCATGACTTGTTGGGGAGCAGGGCGCACTGATCTGAGGAGTCACTGCTTGAGGAAATGGATGAGCCATTTGAGGAGGAGAATGCGCAGTGGGTGAACAGGTAACCCCAAATGTCCACTGCAGAGGCCCGGGAGTTGGGTGCTTGAGATGTCTCGGCTCTTAGTGAGGAGCCCAGGGGGTGCAGATGGCAGTGAGCTCCTAAGCTTTGGTGGGGCCTGTAAGAAGATTACTCAGCAGCAGGACTTCTGGGCCGGGGCGGGGCTACAGCACGCGGGGCGGGCGCACACGGGGTGGCAGAGCAGGGACACGCAGGAGGCTGGGCAGCAGCAGCTGGGCTGGCAGGGGGAGGTTGGGGCACAGCAGGGGGAGGCGGGGGCATAGCATGTGGGCCTGCACACTGGGCAGCAGATGAGGGACATGCTGGAGGAGGGTCTGCAGCAGGACGGGGGGCAGGGAGTGGGCTGGTAGCACAGGGGAGCTGCTGGGCAGGGGGCAGCCCCAGAGCAGACGGACACACAGCACACGGGCTTGCAGCAGACAGGCACACAGCAGGCCTGCTGGCATGGGGAGGAGGTGCAGCAGGAGGGCTGCCAGCTAGACAGCTGGCAGCAGGAGGGTGTGCACGAGCTGGTGCAGCCTGACTGGCAGGGGCTGCACCCGCAGCTCATGGGGTGCAGACAAGGGTCAGGCAGGGGGCCGGGGTGCAGCAGCTGGACTGGCAGCAGCTGGGGGTGCAGCAGGGGGGCTCACAGCAGCTCTTGGGGCAGTCGTCCCCCTGCCAGGAGGGGCCTGTGCAGGAGACCCAGGACCTGGGCAGGCAGACCCGGCTGCCGTAGCTCAGGTCGCTGGAGCAGATGGACAGGGTGGAGGCAGCCATGCTGGGCGGTGGGCTGGAGGAGGTGGTGTGACTGTGTGTGTGAGTGTGTGTGAGTGAGGTGCCTGGAGTGCCAGCTTTTATACCCCTCTTGGCTTGTGTTGTCCCAACTGCAGGCTCCCACGCTGCAGGTTCCCTTCCTGCTTGGTGTTTGGAGCCCAGAGAACTATCATTCATGGTTGTTTTGTTCCGAGGTGTTCAGCTATAAAACTCCTGTTGTATTTTGGTGTCTGTTGATGCATCATAAGCTCTCTGGCCCAGAACATAATGTTGAAGTAGAAAGAGGTTGTCTGCAGTGGCATGTCCTGGGTCTGAGCTGGCTGCAGGAAGCAGCCATTGATCCTATTTCTAACTGCACTTCTGCCAGCTCTGGGCCCAGTCCTGTGCACACCTGGGGCTCAGCTTGTCAGGGTGCCATGGCTCCAGAGCGCCTGGGTGGAGAAGCGCAGCTCAGGGGCAGGTGAGGCCAGAGCTTTACTGACTGTGACTCCCCAGTCCTCCTCTGGTGCAGGGAGCACCCTGGGGGCACTAGGGCAGGTGCATGCAGGCAGAGGTGGGTCAGTGTGGCAGCACAACCTCCCATTTCCCCGTATGGAGCGTTCACACTCTGTCTTCTGCCTGATCCCTTGGTGAGGCTGCAGGACCCACATCTGTGCAAATGCTTCTACTCCCATTTGCATTTAGCCCCAACACCGCAAATTGTGAGCTTAACCAGAGCCATCGTAACAGAGCCTCCACAGGAAAAATAATGATTGCTTTAGAATTTCTTGTTAATTTTCTTGTTAAATTACCTTGGGTCACTCCAGCCAGACACTTGAAAGTCATTCAAGCCTCTCCCTTCCTTCTGCAAATAATGTCCAGTGGCCACCAAGTCCTCTGGTTCTCTCTGCTATGCATGTTTCAAATCCTCTCCATCCTTTTACTTCCCAAGCATGAATTTATTCCCATGCAGCAAATCCTCTCACATGCTGGAAACGGCACCAGGCCTGAGAATGAAGAGACGAACAAGGTGCAGCCTGGAGCTGTGGTTCACTGCAGCCCAGGAGACGCAGGCTCTTGGGATCCTGATATGTTAGTGATGAATGGGCGCAGCCCAGCGCACACGGGGCCCAGGGAGTGGGGGTGCTCCGGGGAGGCTTTCTGGCCCGTGGAGTGTCCCTATCAAGTCTGTGGGCTCAAGTCATCACCTTTCCTGGCCGTTCTGTGTCTGATAGTGGTTCTTACCCTGTGCCTCTCGACTTTTGGGAAATTTATGGGAGGCAAGAAAAGGGTTCTAGGAATTAAATTACACTGTGGGCTTAGCTGTCATCCTTTTTATTTTGAGTTATAAATATGATATATATTTGAGCCTGGCCTCCTGTGCTCAGCTCCTGGCCCTTCCAGAAGTATAGGAACTTGTGGTATAGGCTCGAAGTACATTAGAAAGAGAAAGAGAAAGAGAGAGAGAGGAGATCTCTTTTTATGACAAGGCAGCTTGTGCCAGACATACATTCCTGCTGAGAATAACTTGAAAAGCTGCATAAAATGCAAAAACATCTGTTTAAAGCTTTTGGAGGCTGCTGCTGACACTAAGAATTGATGGACAAATATCACTGGAGGGAGGGAACTTCAGTGAGGTGGCTTTCTCCAAATGGCTTTTCCCTTAAGTACAACTGGTGAACTTGATGTGGGGTGTGAGGGGGAAACACTGGGCAGCAAGAACACTGCAGTTAAGATGTAGAGGAGCCAGGCAGGGCTCCTGGACATCTTATGGGGTTGGAGAACATTACATGGGGATTTGTGTGACTGCAGTGGCAGCGAGGACACCAGGAGACCAGACCCCAGACAGATAGGAGGCTCCAAGAAGAGCTCAGGGACTGAAGAGTGAACCCTCAAGGTGTTTGTCACATTTTCATGACATGCAGGCCAGCAGAAAGTCACATAGGGATTTTTCAATCTCATTACCAAGAAGACCTATGTGGAGTGAAGACTAGCCAAGGAGCAGCTCTCAACTGGGGACCTGGGAAAGCCACATCCTAGGAATGGAAAACCAGACATAGTCCAGAGCCTACAGAGGCTGCCTCCCAACCCCATATCAGTTAAAGTCTTCTGCTTCTACTCAGACTGTTGGACAGAGGGAGAGGTGAATGTCTTTGGAAGAAGAGAAATGCATCCAGAACTGCTAGAATTTTTCATACATGATGCATACATTCAGCCAAGAATTGTAGTCATGCCAAGAAATAGGGCCAAGAGACAAAATAGACAATAGAAACAAACCCAGAGATGACCCAGAGTTGGAGTTATCAGACAGATTTTTAAAATAATTGTGATGGACAATTATATCTATTCAAGGGAATAGATATAATGATGGAGAGTTTTATCATAAAACTGAAATATGTAAAAAGAAACAAGTGGAAATTATATATATATATATATATATATATATTTAATAGCAGACTGGATGGCAGAGAGGGACTCATGACCTGGAAGCTCTGAAGCACCAGGGATACAGCTGGAGATTAAATCAGAGGGAAAATAATTGAATAAATGTGGTAGAACATGGTGAAAAAACTTCACTTTTTTTTTTTTTTGTCACTGGAGTCCCATATGGGGGGAAAGAAAGAGAATGGGAGAATGTTTGAAGAGATAATAAGAAAGAATTTTCTAAACTGAGAACCAAGCTACAGATTCAAGAAGTATTATAAACCCTAAGGGAATAAATACCAATGAAGCCACACCCCAGTTTGTCATAATGAAACCAATGCAAATCGAAGATAAAGACAAATTGTTGAACACAATCAGGAAAAAGAAACATTAACTTCAAAGTTGTAGCAGTGAGATATAGAGATTTTCCAACAGAAATGATGAGAGCAAGGAGGTAAAGAGATGGCATCTATAAGCTGCTGGAAGAAAATGACTGCAAACATGGAATTCTAGCCCAGCAAGACTACCACTCACAGGTGAAGAGAAGAAAAACATCTCCAGATGAACAAAAAGCCACAGACAAAGGTTGGGCAGCGAGTGGGCAGGTCAGTGTTGCCAGCTGCCGCAGGCTGTAAATGCTTGCACAGCCCTGAAGGCCAGTTTGCTGTTAAAAGTTAAAACTTCATACTCTTAAGCCTGAATCATTAGGCATTTATCCTACACATGTTCCTGAATAGCATGATGGCACAAGCTTGTTCAATAATCTGAGACACAGACTGTGTGAGATAGATGCTGGGTGGCCCCACCCCTTGAGTGTGTTCAGGAGCCAGGACATGCTTACAGGCACAAAGAATACAGCAACAATGAGGGGATGTGTGTGATGACCTTACGTAAGATCCTACCTCTGATTTTGGGAGGAGACACTCTCCCCTACTGGCTCTGAAGGGGTCAGCTGCCCTGTGTGAGGTGCCCATGGAGAGGGCCATGTGGCAAGGAAATAGGGTGGTCCGCAGTTGACAGCCAGCAAGAAATTGAGGCACTCAGTTGGACCACCTGATAAGAAAGATGTGAGTCTGGAAGTGCATCTTTCCCCAGTGGAGCCTTCAGGTGAGACCCTGTGATCCAGCCCCACAGGGAACCTGGTTCAGCTGCACCTGGGCTCCTGACCCACAATACATGCGCATTGTTTTAAGCTGCTAAGCTTGTGATAATTTGTTACCCAGCAAAAGAAATGAACACATGGGACAAGGTGGAATACTATGCAGCTGTAAACAAGAGAGTAGCATGGAAAAGGAGCTCCACATTATATTAAGTTTAAAGAAAACATAATGGGCAAAATACATACAATTATATTTTAAAAATTTATGCACAAAAGAAATATATATATGTATGTATGTTTGTGCATATATATATAGAGAGAGAATAGATGATAGATGGAAGGTAGATGAGCCAATTTCATTATTCACAGATTCCTTATGTGAATTCACTTTATTTGCAACCCCCAAGTCAACGTTTGCGTGGTCATCTGGACCATCCCACAGGCAGGGCCCCCACTGAGATGGAACAGGACCATGTCATCACCTTCTTGTTTCAGCTCAGATTGTATAGTCTCCATTTCATGGTCTCCTTAGTGCCATGTTTTTGGGCTGTATGCTTGTGATTTTCCTAGTAAAATGGGCCCCCATGCAGGCACAGAGCTGGGGTGCTGTATAGGGTCCTAAGCACAAGAAGGCTGAGATGTGCCATGTGGAGAAAATACATGAGACTCAGTGTGAGTCCCAGGGCTGATGGTTGGGAGTCCATGTGGAGGAAGATGTGTGTCAGGTGCGTGTTGGGTTAGGTGTCTTTAAACAGAAACATACACCCAACACGGTCAAGTGTTGGTCGGTTGATGAAAATGCTGGGATCAGAGGCTCACAGGGGCCCAACACTGAATTTCCCCAGGAGAGATGGTTCAGTGTTCGAAGTATTTGCTAATTCAGTGTGTGTGGCAGCTTACAGAGCAGGACCACTGAGGATGACAAGAACGCTGTGTGTGTGTGTGTACAGAGAGGGAGGGGGGGGAAGGCCCTGAGACAGAGGGAGAAGGTCAAGGGGAGAGAGTAGCCGTGTCTGGAGAGGAGGGTGGGGGCTGGCAGGCAGGGGTGAGGGAAACCCACTCTGCACGGCCACCTTTGTGTCTCTGCTGTGCTCTGTGGCCCTGTGCTACTCAGGGACATTGGGCTGGTGTGTGGGGCTGGCAGCTTGGTGACCAGCAGCAGAAGGGCTGGGTACAGGCTGCAGGGGGCTGTCCCAGGGAGCTGCGCAGAGGGGGTGAGGGCTGTGACCCTCCCGCAGCCCAGCCCAGGAGCCCCACGGGGCTCGCGCAGAACCGTCCTCATCCTGGGCCAGGAGGGAGGCACGCAGCTCGGGCCTAGAGCACAAAGGCCTGTGGCCCCTGAGTGTAAGGTCTGGAGTTGTGTTGGTGAAGCGATTTCCTCCAGAGCTCAGCCAAGAGTTCTGGGTCCGGCCTCGGTGGCCCTGGGGGGGTCATGGAGCGCCCCTGCCCTATATGCTCCTCCTTCACAAGCTGGAACAGTCCTGTGTCCCCACTGGGCTCAGTGTGTGAACCACAGGAAAGTGCTTCCTGACACCATCCACCTCCAAGCAGACTGCTGGATCCGAGTGGCCTCCCCCCACCTGAAGGTCCCAGGCACGACCCCCCTACCCCCTCCCACCCCCCACTGAGAACCCAGGCTGGCACCCTGCCCACCCCGCTTCTGTTGCCCTGGGGACACAGGGACCAGGCTTCCCAGACAGATGCTCCCAAGAGTTTTATGAGCTGGACAACATCCAGGCAAACAAACATGCCTAATGCTCTCCTGTGACCCGGAACTGGAGGCTCCTGTGGCCTGGGACACGGGATCCTGGAGGGGTATAAAAGCCAGTACCCTGCACCTCACTCACACACACTCACTCACACTCACACACTCTCACACACTCACACACACACACCCCTCCAGCCCACCGCCCACCATGGCCGCCTCCACCCTGTCCGTCTGCTCCAGTAACATGAGCTACAGCCGCAGGGTCTGCCTGCCCGGGTCCTGGGGCTCCTGCACTGGCCCCTCCTGGCAGGGGGACGACTGCCGGGAGAGCTGCTGTGAGCCCCCCTGCTGCTCCCCCAGCTGCTGCCAGTCCAGCTGCTGTGCCCTGGCCCCCTGCCTGACCCTTGTCTGCAACCCCGTGAGCGGCGGGTGCAGACCCTGCCAGTCAGCCTGCACCAGCTCATGCACACCCTCCTGCTGCCAGCTGTCTAGCTGCCAGCCCTCCTGCTACACCTCCTCCCCGTGCCAGCAGGCCTGCTGTGTGCCCGTCTGCTGTAAGCCCGTGTGCTGTGTGCCCATCTGCTCTGGGGCTGCCCCCTGCCCAGCTCCCCCATGCTGCCAGCCCACCCCCTGCCCCCCGTCCTGCTGCAGACCCTCCTCCTGCGTGTCCCTCATCTGCTGCCCTGTGTGCAGGCCCGCCTGCTGTGCCCCGACCTCCCCCTGCTGTGCCCCTGCCTCCCCCTGCTGTGCCCCCGCCTACCCCTGCCAGCGCATCTGCTGCAGCCCGGCCTTCTGCGTGTCCCTGCTCTGCCGCCCCGCGTGCACCCGCCCTGCCTGCTGCTGACCCACTCGTCACGCCAGCACCAGCCAGACTCAGGTCCCACCTTGTGACTGTGGTCCTCACAGCCAGCCCTGTCGGATCCATGTGCCCACAGGCAGCTGCTCTCGCTGAGGACGGGGTCAGCTCTCACCTGGAAGCTGGTCTCCGTGTCCTGATTGCCCCGCACTTAGACCACGTCCTCGTGCCTACTGGCCCACCTGCTGCTGAGCTGGCTCATGAAGAACTAAATGCCCACACTCCTGCTTCAGCCCTTGAGGGTTCTCCTTAGAAGTCCCTGTGGCTGTGCCTCCCCCCATATCTCCCACCCCTCATGAGGGTCAGCTCAGCCTCTTTCCACAGTGTCTCTGTCCCCTCACCAGCCTCCTCTGGAGGCACAAGAGCAAACAGACCAATAAATGCCTTTGCCCCTGAGTGCAGCACTGGCCCAGTGTGTCACCATCTGTTCCTCAACTTGACCACATGTTCACCCTTCTCACCCACACATGGCACTCTGCCATCCTGTGGGCCCTCCATGGCGTCCCGCAACTCCTGGGGCCCCAACTGGGCAGCAGGTCATGGGGGTGGGTTTGCAGCCTGTGGCCATTTGGGGCTATCTTGGGTTCACCCTTCACCCCCTGTACCACTTTACCCCGGCACCAGTAATTAACAATTCACTGAACACATCTTTTCTTGGCTCACAACTATAACTTCTCACAACATCCACCAAATCAGGAAGAAGGTCTTCTGGATTTGTTTTTCCAAAGCATGTTTGAATAACTTCGTAACTTCCAAATCAGGAATTTTCATTTGTATATTGCTTGAAATCCTCCTGCATGCCCACTGATAGCCCTGAGGTGGTATCAGGAGCATACCTGGGGATTGAAATCTCTGCTGCTTGCACCCTATGTGAGCAGAGATATTTTCCTCAACCTCTCCTGGCCTTTGTGTCCTCTCAAAGGTCAGAGCAATAGGACTTATACTTAAGGTATTTACAAGGATTGGCAATACAACAGAAAGCGAGCATGTTCTGATTACAGTGAATGTGTGGGTCTCAAGTGGATTGGCCAGAACATAAACGCACAGTGATGATTTCTGAGTATTCTAAGAACTCTTTAAAGAATATGTCTGGAATAAAGATGTGTTGGAGTTGCTGGAGGACGTAGTGATTCTATTCCAACAGTCACAAAATCAAAAAGGCTTTTGATGTGTACATGTCAGAGGGTCACCCAGGAGTTGACCACAGAAGGTGTGGAGGTTGTACAGGAAACCAAAGTGCCCGCCATGCTGAAGTCCTATTCCCAGGAAGGAGGAGGGAGGATGCTCACACAGGTGTACGCCATGCGGTTTCCAGCCACACAGCTCGGTGTGCTGACTGCAACACATGGAACCAGAAGGTTCGAAATAGCCCAGAGAACGAGAATTCTGCAGAAGAGTCTTCATCTGAATAAAGTGCTGCCCACCTCATATGGCCCAGTGGAGATGGTCAAGGCAATCGACGTGCTTAACAAAGCCGACTCTGAGATCAGAAAGTGACTTGCTAGAGGGAGCACAACCCGCCGAGACAGCCAACACTCACTCATCTGCAGGGACCATTTGAGTGGGGCCTCATCTCATGAAGACTTGTTTCATAAAAAATGAAACTCTCTTATTGGTCTTTTATTTGTTAAGGGACATTATGTTGATTTCTAGCTTAATTAGCAACAACACAAAGAGTAGTGACTCAAGGGACATAGACTATGACCAGAGGTCAAACCGACCCCAAATACCTGGCAACAGCCCCCAGGCACAGGAAAAAGTGACCCAGATGCCGACACCTCTGGACTGTCCCACACCTCAGTGTCCTCGGGACCTGTGGCAAAGACCCGGCATGCAGGGTCCCCAAACTGATGCTGACCCATGAAGCTCATTATCACCAGGTCAAACACTTGCCTCACTTGCTTTAGCCTCCTGAGTGTCCTACTCTGTTGCTAGAGACCAGTCCTAATTTAATATATTTAACCTGGAAAATTTGCAAGGCCCATAGCTAAGCACATGTTCCTACCTCTCAGAATGGCTTCAGACTAACTCTTTATACATGCCCCGTTTCTCCCTCAAAGTCCCCTATTCCCTGACCCATGAGAACTCGCCGGCAATGCCTGGACACTAAGCCAAGCAGCTCCCTCGGTGACTCTTACCCATAAAATCCTCAGTTTTGCCTCTGGATTTTGCCTGAATCACCCCTCAGATAGGCCCCTCAGTTAGGACCTGACATACTGTGGGTCTCTGTGAATAGGATTTGATTGAGCCTTAGGGGAATGTGGAGTTGCTGTTGTTTCTCACGAAGCCCAGGCCCCCAGGAAGTTCAGTGGCAGTTTCTCATGTATCTCCATGACCCACTGTTAGAATTCCTATTTGGGGAACACTGGCTGCACGGGCCAGTCCCCGGTGCAGTGGGGAGTCTCAGGCTGGGCTTGAATTCCCAGAAGGAAGGAGGCTCAGTTTCAGAGTCAGGGAAAGATACTGAGTAGTCAAAGAGGGAAGCAAGGATTGGACTGAAAAGGAAATAGAAATTCTCAAAAACTAGGGGTGAGGCTTTGTTGTGTGCCATGATGAACCTGACTTGTCCTCCCACATTAAATAACTGAAAAATTGAACAAAAGATATAAAGCAACTGTTTTTCAGACATTGGACAACTGACGGTATAGAATTTGGAATCCCGAGAGAAGTGAAACAAAGGTGGTTCATCCTCGAGATCACTGCTGTATACTAAGCCATTCATTCAAAGCTCAGAACACCGTGACGCTAGACAAGAGCAATCTTGGAGCTCTGAGGAGAGCGATTATCAGAGCGTACACAAGGCTGAGAGATGTTAGAGCTCCAGGTGACCACAGGGAAGTGTCCTTGCTGAATGCCAGAGGCATCCAGTACAGATCCCAGAGGCATCACAGCTTAATCACAGTGCAAAACGTTCCTGAGAGCAAAGGCTTCTCTAGATCCGTCCTAACAAAACTTAAAAACAAGCACAGAAGCATCAAAGATTTAAGGTGATCCACAGGTTGTAGTGCCAGCAAGAACAAAGTCCAGTTAGGAAGGAAACAAAGTACAACATTCAGCAGCATTACAGTAGTATTTTATTGAAGTCCAGCATTCAAGAAAAAATTATTAGACACATGAAGAAGAGGAAAGTGTAACCTATAATCAAGAATCAGAAGTTTATAGACACTAAGCCCAGAAATGACAGTTAATAGAATCAGCAGACAAGGTAGTTAAAACAACTGCTATAAATGTGTTCAAGGATTTAAGGGAAAACATGATCACAGTGAGGAGAGAAATGGAAGCCACAAAAGAAAACTAAATGGAATGCCAAGAGCTAAAAAATATAGCATCAACAATAAAAAATTAAAAGGATAAGCTTAAAAGTAGATTAGATCCTGCAAAGAAAAGATTAGTGACCTTGAAGACATTGCCATAAAAATTACCCAAACCAAAGGATGGCAGAAAAAAAAGTTAAAAAATTAGAAACTAACCAAGCCTCAGTGGCCTGGGTAACAATATTAAGTGGTCTAACATACATACAACTGAAGTACCTGAAAAAATGTGGAAGCATGAGGGAGGGGAAACGAACATATTTAGAGATAATGGTCAAGTATTTTCTGAATTTGAATAAACTGGTAAGCATATAGAAAATTTGAAAACTGCTATCCACTAATCTGACCAAATTGTTATTTATACAACATTCCATCCAACAACAGAATTCACATATTTTCAAGTGTACATGGAACATTCAACAAAATAAATCATATACTAGGCCAGAAAAAATTTCAATATATTTAATAGAATTAGAACCAAACAGAGAACATTGACCAAAACAGAATCAGATCAGAAAGATATCTGGAAAATTAATGAATATTTGTATATTAAATAACACATTTCAAAATAATCCATGATACAAATAAATTGCTATGGAAATTAGAAAATATTTTGAATGAAATGAAAATTAACTTTATGGGATGCAGTTAACACAGAGTATAGAGGGAAATGCATAGCTTTAATACTGTAGAACAGAAGGATGGCCTATACTCAATTATCTAAGCTTCTACCTTAAGAAGCCACAAAAAGAAGCACAAGTTGAACCCAAAATAAGTAAAGGGAAGGAAATAATCAACAAATGTAAAAACTCACCAAATAGAAAATGGACAAACAAAAGAGAAAATGAATGAAAAAAAATGGAGCTTTTGGAAAAGATCAATAAAATTTATGTTTCTAGCTTTAATAGTCAAGAAAAAAAGAAAAAGAAATTAACAATAACAGGAATAAAAAAAGGATTACCACCACAGATTGTATAGACATTAAAAGAACAAAAAAGGAAGAATGCAAACACTTTAGTGCTGATACAGTCAACAACTTAGACAAAATAAGCAAATAACTGGAAAGATGTAAATTAGGAAAACTAATATAAGAAAAAGAAAATCTGAATAGCCCTCTAGCAATTGAAGAGATTGAATTCATAATTAATATCTTCCCCAGAAACAAAACATTGCTGGAAATCCTAAGCAATATACAAAAAAGCTGTTACAATTCACAAGTGAGTTTAGCAAGGTTGCAGGATACAGTGTCAATATACATACCAATTATATTTCTATAAGTAACAATAGATACTTGGAAATAAGTAAACATATGACTAACTAAAACATTAAAAAATGAAATAATAGAGAAACTGACATATGTACAAGATCTATGGACTAAAAAAATGACAAAATATTGTTAAAAATGAAAAGCAATCCTAAGTGACTGAAGAGATATACTTATGGACTGTTAAGTAATTTCATATAACGATATGATATTGTTAAAATGTCAATTCCTTCCAAATTTACCTGCAGTCTTTTCTATAGAAACCAATGAGCAGACTCTAAAATACATTCTAAAATCTATATGGAAATGTTAAGGATTGAGAATAACCAACCAATTTTGAAGAAGTAAAACAGAATTGGAGGGCTCACATTGCTTGATTTCAAGATGTAACTTAAAGCTACATTGATCGAGAAAGGGTGTTATTGGTGTAGAAATAAACTTAAAAGGAGAAGGGAACAGAATAGAGTCCAGAAATAGCTCTACACATATAATCAATAGATGTTTGGCAAGGGTACTTCAGAGGAGAGAGAAGAATCTTCTCAACTAATGATGCTGGAACAACTCACAGTATATTCAAAGATTAAATTGAAGTGAATTATAGGACTAAACATAAAAGTTAAAGTCATGAAACATTTAGAAGTAAGTGTAGGATAAAATTTGTGTGACCTTAGGTTTAAGCAAAACTTTCTTAGATGGGATTATCGAAGAGATGTGATACACTGGATTTCATCAGAGTTAAAGATGTCATCTCTTCAAAAATCACAGCCAAGAAAGTGAAAAGGCTAGCCCTAGAAGGAGGAATTGGCAATATATATATAGCAAATGACTGGTGTCTAGAGTATATAAAGAACACTTACCATGAATATTAACAAAAACAATTGGATTTTTAAAAATGGGCAGAAGATTTGAATAGACACTTGACCAAAGATGACAAATGGCAAACCAGCACGTGAGAAGCCGACCCCTCATGAGTCATCAGGGAAATGCAAATATCACTATACAGGCTGCGCTTACCACAAGGCCCAGCAGCCCTACCTCTGGGGATTTACCTAGGAGAATTAAAACATGCAGAGGGCAGATGTTCGCAGTGGCTTCATCCATAATCCCTGACCTGGAGACCCCACAGGCACTTTAACAGGGGAACGGATAAATCCATGCAGTTAAATGCTGCTCAGCAATTAAAAATGAATTAACTACTGATGTACACAACAAGGGAGACAAGTAAAGGAGCCAGATGCAGAGAGCACAGATTATTTCATTTCTGACACTGTAGAAAAAATTGATCTTTGATGACTCAGCAGAAGGGAGGGTGCGGGGCTCTGAGCTCAGTGCTGATGGGAAGGCATGTGAGGCAGCCTTGGGCACAAATGTAGTGTTACATACCTTGACTTGGGCGCAGACTGTGGGCCTTTTTCAAAACTGATCAAACTTACAATTAAATTGGATGCTTTGGATATAATGTGACTTGTTACCTTGACAAAGCCCATTTTGATCAGAACCAGTGGGTGAAAACCTGGTCAGGAGGGGAGGAGGTTGGACCTGGAATGAGCCATAGGCGGGGCAGACAGTGTGGCTGGGAGGTGGGGGCTCAGGGAAGCAGGGCTCCCTCTGTGGGTCTGCCCTTAGCGTTAGGCCGTGGGAGGGCTGAGGGGTCAGAGGCTGGGGAGGCAGTGCCTAGTGCAACTGGTGGGCTGGGGAGGGTTGTCCACTGTCTAATCCATTGCAGGCTGGGTAGGGGTCCACTTCCTGCAACACTCTCACCCCACCCCAGGTGACTGTCCCAGAGTACTTCCACCCCTGTCAGTAGGTGCCGTCACCCGGTGCCAGCGTCGCCCCAAGGTCAGTGGGCTGCTGCCCGTGGCCGTTGCCACATCCAGACTTGCTGGGGGTCCTCAGGTCACAGGGGCCCTGCAGCCATGACTCCTTGTCCCTCAAGCTCCCAGACGAATCTGGACCTTCAGGGGGGTCCTTGGGCAGCACATGGGACCCTGTGGGCCCTGCCACCCCCCTGAATATCTTGTTTCCACACCTGGTTGTCCCCCCTATGAGCTGGGAGCAGCTCCTCCGTCCCTCATCACGTTTCTGCTCATTGGCAGAACTCACGGGGGGTCCACAAGAGGCTCCCAGGGCCCCCAGAGGCTGTGCTGTGTTGAGCCCCCAGCCCTGCTTCTTGGCAGGTGACTCTGGGGCCAGTTTTCCTAAATGGGACAGTGGCAGGAAAGGGCCCAGGGCCGAGAGAGCCTCTAGACCACAGCAAGGCTCAGGGGCCCAGGCTGAGGGAAGCCCGGGAACAGTGGCCTCCCTGGGCGACAGTTGGGGGTCCACCTGGGGGCCCTGCCCCGAGCAGTTAGCCATGCTCTCTGGGAGCTCCCAGCCTCCGTCCGAGAAATACTTGTGGCCAGAGGAGACAACGTCTGGCCAAAACCATGAGACCCCCCGCCCCCAAGAGTGTCCAAGGAAAGGAGGTGGTGAGGTGGGGCAGTGGATTTATTGGGGAACCCAGGAACAGGTTGGAAGTGGAGGCCCAGGGACCCGAGGAGCAGAGACATGGGGAGGGAAGGACAGGTGACCCAGAGGCAGCGGAGGTGCCTCCTGGAAGGTAGGGGTCAGAGGTCAGGTCAGGATGGTGGACACAGGGAGCAACCCTGTCCTGAGGGGGGCAGCCGCCTAACACAGGTCAGGACCAGACTGAGGGGAGGCTCAGAGGGCCAGTCCCGGGATGGGCCTGAGTCCTTCTGGCCTGGGGATTGAGTGGGTCAGCAGCAGGCAGGGCGGGTGCACGCGGGGCAGCAGAGCAGGGACATGCAGGAGGCCGTGCGGCAGCAGCTGGGCTGGCAGGGAGAGGCAGGCACGCAGCAGGCGGGCCTGCACATGGGGTGGCAGGTGAGGGACGTGCAGGAGGAGGGTCTGCAGCAGGACAGGGGGCAGTGGGTGGGCTGGCAGCATGGGGGCACCGGGCAGGGGGCAGCCCCAGAGCAGACGGGCACACAGCACACGGGCTTGCAGCAGATGGGCAAGCAGCAGGCCTGCTGGCATGGAGAGGGGGTGCAGCGGGAGGGCTGGCAGCTAGACACCTGGCAGCAGGAGGGTGTGCACGAGCTGGTGCAGGCTGATTGGCAGGAGCTGCACTTGCAGCTCACGGGGGTGCAGACGAGGCTCAGGCAGGGGGCTGGGGCACAGCAGCTGGACTGGTAGCAGCTGGGGGTGCAGCAGGGGGCCTCGCAGCAGCTCTCGGGACAGTCGTCCCTCTGCCAGGAGGGGCCTGTGCAGGAGCCCCAGGACCCGGGTAGGCAGACCCGGCGGCCGTAGCTCAGGTCACTGGAGCAGGCACACAGGGTGGAGGCGGCCATGCTGGGCGGTTTGAGTGTGGGCGTAAGTGTGAGTGTGTGAGTGAGGTGCTGTGTGCTGCCTTTATACCCCTCCTCTCTGTTGTCCCTCTACGGGGCCGCTGGCTTCCCTTCCGTGTTGGTGCTGAGAGCCAGCGGCATCCTGGAGAACAGACGGCAGCTGCTTTAGTTCCAGGAGTGATTGCTCACATCATAAAACTCCTGAAATTTTCATGGGATGTCTTTACTTGTTTTTAGTCCTAGAAAGAAAACATGGGGTGGAGTGTAGCTACCTTGTTTGAGGGGGGTCACTGGGAGGCTGGGGCCAGGGTGTGCGGGGCCCCAGCTCCCCCGCTGGATGAACAAGGCCATGCTCTCTGGGGTTGGAGGTTTGTTTGGCTCCTAAATAAAGATAACGTGAATCATGATTTGTACACAGTACTTATCCATGCCCTGCGGCTGTGGTAACAAAACGCCACAGGACCAGGTGGCTCAAACAGGAGATCTATTCTTTCCCAGTCTGAGGCCCCAAGTCTGAGATCAGCGTGTGAGCAGGGCTGGGTCCTACCGAGGCCACAAGAGAGACTATCCTGGGCCTCCCTGGCTTCTGGGGTGAGCAGGCCATCTTGGGATTCCTTGGCTTGTAGACGCATCTCCCTAATCTCAGCTTGCATGTTCACGTGGCATCTCTCAGGGTGTGCCCATGTCTTATTTTATAAGGACACAGTCCTATCAGATTAAGGCCCACCTGGTGAGCTCACTATAACCGGATAATCTGCAAAGACCCTATTTCCAAATAAGGTCACATCCTCAGGTACTGGGGTTTAGGACTCCAGCGTCCTCTTGGGGACACAGTTCAGCCTATAGCAGGTACTTCCTCTGAAGCAGACCGTACCAGGGTCAGGCATGGAAGGGCAGGTTGGCCTGCTCCCCTCCCAGGGACTCTGGTCTGTGACAGGTGATGGGCAGGGAGCAGACAGCTCAAGGCATGATGGGCCTGACAGCACATGTGTCTCCTCTGCTTGTCCAGGCACGGCTGTGCTCAGCAGGTGATTTCTTGTGTATTTTCCAGAACAGTTGTGAAAAGCGTACAGGGGTCACCTCGGCCCCTGGCCCAGCTTCCTCTAGTATTGACACACCTCACATATGTGTGTGTCAACGACAAACCTTAACATCAGCATTGGTTCGTTACTAGTCACTTAAGAGCAGACCGCATTTGGTGCACCCCTTCCATGAATGCCCTCCCCTGGCCCAGGCTCCATTTGCATTTGTCAGGCCTTCTCAGTCTTTGGGGCAGAGACAGCTTCTTGGTCTTTCCTTGCTCTTTGTGACCTTGACACTTATGGAGAGCAGCGGTCAGGTGTGTTGTAGAAATTTGGGTTTGTCTGAAGTTTCCCCCAATTAGAATGAGGGTATATTGTGGGGAAGAATCCCATGGAAGCGGTGTGTTCAGTGAGGCAGAGCTACATGATGTTGCTCTGTCTCATCACTGGGGGTCTTTTTTCCCTTCTGCGATTAATAAATATTTGGGGAGGAGATTCTCTGAGACATTGCAGGTATACTTCTTCTGCTGAAACACTCGCCCAGTGGTTTTCGGGTTCCTCTGGGGATCACGCCTGCAGCAGTGGGCACTGTGGCGTTCTGATGGTGATTTTCCACTTTCCCATTCCACCCCCATTTAGTAATGAAATTCTACTGTAAGGAGGAGCTGTCCCTTTCCTCCATTTATTTATTCGTTCTGTTATTTACTTCAATGTGGACTAAAGAATACTTGTTTATTGTTTGAGTTCTAATCTAATATTAGCATTATTTATTTGGCTGTTCAAATTGTTCCATCTTTGACCATTGGGAACTCTTTAATTCAGCCCTTGGACCTTCAGCATGCCTCCAACTCCCTGATGCCTCACTGCCGGCCCAAACTCCCCTTGAGTTTTCTCTGTTCCATCCTTGAAATCAACCACTATGCCAGAGACTTCTGGCCCCTTTTAGTGGATGATGGTATTTAGAAACCAAGACCAGGAGATAGGTGTACTTATTGCTACTGGAGTGTCACCTCCCCAGGGGTAGACTGAGGAGGTATATGTGTGTGTACTGACACATGCCTGATCTTAGGGGGATGGTATTCAGTCTTTCACCATAAGGACCATGTTGGCTGTAGTTTTTTCTAGATCAGTTTTTTTCGGGCTAAAGATTTCCTTCCATTGTTGAGAGATTTTATCATGAATGGATGTGAGCTTTTTGTGGAATCCTTTGTATGCATTTGTCAAGATGATCATATAGTTTTCTTTTTTAGTCTGTTAATATGAGTTACATAAGTTGATATTTTAAGCTTTTTATTTTGAAAAAGTCAGAGATTCACAGGAAATTGCAAAGCTTGTACAGAGAGGTGCTGGTAGTTGACTTTGAATGTTGAACCAGTCTTGAATTCCTGGATAAACCCCACTTGGTTGTAATGTATTGCCCTTTTTATATGTTGCTGGATTTGACTTGCTAGTATGTTATTCAGGATTTTCACGTCTTTATTCATGAGGATGTCGGTGTGTAGTTTTCCTCTGTTGTAATGCCTTTGGTTTTCATGATGCTGTCCTCATAGAAGGAGCTGCCCAGTATTTCCTCTTCTTCTAGTTTCTAGATGAGATTGCAGAGAGTTGGAATTCTGTCCTCTTTAAATGTATGGTAGAATTTTATAAGGAACTGAATTTTCTTTAAAGATACCAGACTTTCCAGTTGCCTGTTTGTTCTTTAATGGGTCTCAGTGGTTTGTGCCTATGAGGTCTTGCTCTGCATTATCTGAGGTTTTGAATATGTGGGCATAATGTCTTTGTAGAAGTCCCTTATTATCTTTTCGATTTCTGAGAAAAGGTTAATAATATCCCATCGTTTGTTCTTGATACTGGTAAGTTGCTTCTTCTCATTTTTTCCCCTGGTCAGTCTCGCTAGAAGTTTATCAATTATCTTCCCAAAGAATGAGCTTTAGTTTCACTGATTTTGTTAATTTTTCTTTTACAACTGCATTGATGTCTGCCTTATCCTTCTGTCTACAAGTTGCATTGGCTTTTCTTCAAGTTTCTTAAGTTGAAGCTTCGATCATTGATTTGACACCTTTCTTCTCCTCTAAGGGAACATTTAGTTCTATACACTTCCCTCTTCCTGAGCGTCCCCCGAGTCCTCTCTGTGCTGATGGTCCTGGCCTACAGTCTGAGGCTTCGAGTGAGCTGATCTCCACAGCCCCTTCTGGCTCTGATTCCACAATTCCTGGATTCAATGCATATGTTTTAAAGGTAGAGCTGATGAGGACTGACACACAGTGGGATCGACAGGCAGGCAAACCTCTGGGTGCTGAACACTGGGACTTCCACATCCTGAAGCCTGAGGCTGTTGCAGCCAGATTCATCCTGTTCATGTTTTCACTCGCCAGAAGGACATGAAACGAGAGCATGGAAACCTGGCGGGATTACAGAGATAATTATGCCTGGCAGGAGAGAGAAGTGTCTTTATTGCAAAGGTCCCCCAGGGGCAGGGACTGTCCCTTCATCTCTGCCCTTCCCATCTTTCAGCTCCTGGCAGAGGAGACCAGGAGGAGGCATTTTGGCCCAACAGAGGTGTGTTCCATGGGTGGGGCCCTGAGGGAAGCTGAGCATCCTGTCCCAGGAAGGGCTTGGATCAAGGCCCCTGTCCCTGTGCCAGCCCAGCAGTCAGCATGGTGTGCGTGCACCGTCTTTCTCTTCCTAAAGGGTCATGTGCCTGGTGAGGTCAGTTGGTGGCTGTACTTAGTGGACAACATTAGAGATGTGAGAAAGGAATGTTCCGGTTTTTAGCTGGCAAGTATGGGGCCAGCAGACAGGCTCATTCCCTGTGTGTGTAAACTTTCCTGGTCAGCTGATTAAGGCACCCCCAGGTGCCCCACTGCTTATTTATGGAGAGTGAGCTTAATATCAGCTGTTTCGCAGCCTCATGGGGCTCCCTCAAGACACCTGCTTTGCCAGCCCTGGCAGCCTGCCTTCCTGCAACCCAGCACAGATTCCCCCACAAACTCAGGTGCAAAGTTAAAAATTGATCTCAAAAGTGGCCCAGCACAGGGCTGACTGTGTTATCAGGGATGGGCAGTCACTGAGAGGCAGTCCGTTTCTGGAGAACAGCTTCTGCTCATCAGATGACATTTCCAATCCCTCCCTCAGCCCTAGAAAGGGGGGTGCCCTCTGCTATTGCTGATGAGAGGACCCAGCCTCCAAGAGGCCAATTACAGGGGCTGCAGGACACAGCAGGTCCCAGGAGAGCTGGACACAAAGGCCACCGCCATCGCTGATCCGTCTGCGTGGCGCTTTGGATGCTGTGCATTCTGGGAGCCCTTGACTCCAAGGGGCTAAGCAGACCTGGGAGGGTGAGTGAAGAAAGTCAAGTGTGTGCAGACTTACGGGTGCTGCTGTGCACAAGGGCTCAGCCCTCCAGCCCAGGCGCTCTCACGTACACTCGCTGGGCTGCTGTTGGGATCCTTGCTATTGGGGGCCCTGCCCTGTAGCTTCGAGGGTCTGCTCCCCACACTGCCTTTGGCTTTCCAGGCAGCAGACATATTGGGGCTCCAGCCCCAGAGGGCCTAGCGGTCCCGTTCAGAGCCCAGTGGGCCCACCTTTGTCCACACCCCTTGACTTTCTTTTAAACAAGTTTCAAAAAGCAGGTTTGAACACACCAAAGGAACATGAGTCATTTCCCCATTTGTGCTCCATCTCTACATTTTTTTCTTATTTCCTTTTCTAACCAGTGTTACAGGAGAGAATGATGGCTTGTTAATTATATTTTAATTTGCATTTCTCCGACTGGTATCAACTCAGTGTTCTGTCACGTTTGTGAGCCCTTCGGGTTTCTTCTTTAAGTTGCCTGCTGTTCATTGTTTCTTTGTTTTGAGGATTGTCCCTAGGGTTTCCTTGTTGGTTTTCAGGGGTTCCCGGTCCTTTTGGTACTGGGTCAGTTTCAGGCATGGCAAGCGCCTTGCCTGCCCATCCTGGGACTGTCAGCACCGCCCGGGGGTCTAGTTTCTCTAGAGATCTTCTGGAACCTGAGGCCATGAGGACAGCCCCTGACTCCTCCCTCTCCCTCGGTAGTCTGTCTCTCGGGCTCCTGGGGTCCACGACTGCATGTTGTGCTCAGGGAGGAGTTCAGTGTGGCTTTGACCCCACAGGAGCCCCGCTTTCCCTCGCCATCCACCGACCCCGCTGTTGACCCACGGGTCCCAGGACTGCTTTCCGAGGGCCCCTCAGCTCTCCTGCCCCCCTGGCCGCCGGCCCTCCCGCCTCTCCCTGGGCGCACACTGGGCTCCTTTGCTGCCATGGCTCTGGTCAGTCTCGTTGGCCCCAGGGCCATACTTAAGTACCCAGGCCTACATTCCTGGGAAGGAACCGGCCCTGGTCCCTGCGCACGCACTTCATGGCAGCCACAGAGCAGAGCGTCTTGCTGGCCATTAGGTGCTTTCCTCCTTTCCTGCCCCAGTGGAGGACCCCCTCTCAGAGACCGGGTCCGCCTGGCCTGTGACTCACTCCTGCACTCCCAGTGCCATGGGGCAGCCCCTCCCAAACAAACCTCAGTAGTCATGGGCTCCAGCACAGAGAACCTCCCCAGGGAAAGACTTGGGTGCAAGGAGCCTGGCCCTGGCCAAGAATCCTCTGTGTCGTCCATCAGGCCCGGTCACGGGTGGCCAAGAAGGCTTCTGCTGGTGGGCCTCACAATGAAGCTGCCCCATGCACCAGCCGGGCACCAGCCAGGCACCGCTGTCCTGGAGAGAGGGTGCCAGGGATGCAGGCCCCATCGGCCACCCTCCGCAAGCCATGTTTGAACTCACGCCTGCATTGCTGGCCCTGGTGCCTCCATTCGGAGGCTCCTGGGGACCGTGGGGCACTTTCCCCCACCGTCTCAGGACGTTCCCGCTTCTGGCTCTTCCTCCTCCTCCTTCCCCAGCCCCACGGCTCGTCCACCCATAGGGGGTTTTGGTTCTGGGACCCCACCGCTGCCCCCCTGGGGAGGATGTGGGGTCGCCCGCTTCCCCTGGTTCCAGCCTCCTGCTCTTACTGCTGCCATCAGCATGGTAGCCGCCACTGCCCTTCTGCTTGGCTGGTGGCTGTGACGGCTCTGCTGACACCTGGGCCCCTGATGGGGGGCAGTCACTGCCATCCCATTTTACAGGTAGGAAACTGAGGTGCAGAGAGGCCCATGGAGCCGGTCGTGGGCCGCACCTTGAGATCTGAGGGCCAGTCAGGGGCCTCATGCGTAGCCAGCTTTGAGTGAGTGTATTTGTGGCTGCCACAGCCTCTCTGCCAGCTGGGAAAGACCCCAAGGGTGATGACTGCTCCTGAAACTGCCATTTCAAGGAGCCTTGTGGGATACGTGAGCCACCAAGCAGTCTTTATCTGGTCTGTCTGTTCCCAGGGACCCACCACCACTTAGGCCTGGCAGAGACTCAGACGGGCAGGGGAGGGGGTGGCGTACGGTGGAGAGAGAAGGCTCGTGTGCCCCGTGGAGGCCGTGGCATAGGGATGCTGTGGGCAGGCTCCCTCGAGGCAGGGCTCCCATGTGAGTGGGGACAAAGGTTAGGGAAGCCGCCTGTCACTGGCCAGGGGCGGCCTGAGCTGGGCTGCGGCCGAGGCCATGTATCACAGCCCTCTTGCCACGCGATGTGGTTTGTCCCCCGTGAATGTAGCAGGTGCTAATGCACATGTGTAACGGACTAGAAATAATTTGCAGGGCTTCATCTCTTGTGCACGTCCGGAGTCCTGAGACAGCTTGGGGTTTTTAGACTCAGTCACTGCATTCCTGCCTCCAGTGGGCCTTTTCCAGAATTCACCCTTTCTGTTACCTCGAACACCCCCATATGTTACGAGGACGAGGTATTGACAGAGAAGTCCTCTGTGTGGACTGTGTATCTGCTGGAGCACAGACTGGCCATGCCTGCCCGGGTTCAGGGTGGAGCAGGAAGAGGCTGCTAATCAAACAGTGGATGCAGAGGTTCACACTGGGATTAGCCCAGTTTGGGGACCCCCTTGCTGATAATGCACCCAACCTGCCTATGCTCTGGGCTCAGCCAGGCCGTGGCATGCTCTGAGGGCCAGGCAGCCTGCCTGGGGGTGGACCAACATTTCCCAAATGAAAGGGTCAGACTCAGGTGGGGTTGCAGCTAAAACAGAGAGGGGTGAGCCTACCACCAGGCAGGGTCCATATACCCAGCATCCCACAGAGCTTTTTGGGGTGCACAACATTTAGTTAGAGCCCAGGGGCCCTGACTCTTCCACAGAACATGGAATCTGACCCCTGCACCCAGGCAGTCCAAGGCTTGGGTCAGGGTCAGGGTTCCAGAGCACAGCCGAGGCCCCTCCCCAGAGGCCAGATTCCTCCCTAGAGTCAGTCTGGGACCTGTACCCGGGCACGCACATACACTGCCTGCGGGATGACCCCTGCAGACCCCAGACCCTGGAGACCCTTTGCCGTTGCTCGCCTGCTCCCCGAGTGGCGCCGTGGGGTCCTCACACTCTGCTGTTCCAGGCACAGATGATGACCTCTGACAGTACATTCTCCCTCCCAGGGCCCCCAGGGGCCACGGGCTGTGTGTCCTCCTGACACTGCTCACGCCGCACATCATCATGTCTCCCATGCTCCCCTCTGCTGTGTGTCCCACCGTTGCCTCTCACTTCCTCCCAATGCAGTGCCCAGGGATGGCGTCCAGCCCCACATGCAGGCTGGCCACTCACCTGTCCAGCTCACCCTCCATCCAGCACCCACATCCCTGAGCATGTCCCTGAACCACTTTCCAGAAAGGCCCCAGTGTCTCTGAGCTCAAGGCCAGATGGCGACAGACTCCGTGTGTATCCCCGGGTGTGTGTGAGTGTCGTTTTCAAGCGTTGCCCTCCGTGCGTTTGCTGCCATGAGCCCCTGTCCTGCAGGTCCTCGAGCACAGCTTTGCTCACTTTCCTATTGGGGTGACATTGATTAATGAGAGGGGCTTCCCTGTATTCCAGAGATCATCCTGCCTTCTCACCTCTGCTGAGAGCGCAGGAAATGCCCTGCTTGCCCCCACAAGCCTGTCTCTCAGGGCTGTGTGCTGCCTGGGGTGGGCTGGCACTCATCCTCCCTGGTCCCCCAGGACACCCAGCCTAGCACCTGGCTACTGACTCAAAAACAGCAAAATGGAGTGTGCATCTGGGGCTCCTTCTGTGCAAAGTCAGGAGTGAGGTGGCAGTAGAAGTCAGTGCAGACCCGTGCGCCATTCACTCCCTGATGGCTAGCGGCAGGACATCACAGTACCCAACTCGCAGGGGCTCTGGCCAGGGTCTGGCGGAATGGAGAGACCAGAGCTGCTGCGCCGGGCACCCCTACATGCCCAGGCATAACCCCCTGCAATTTCCTTGACACAGACCTGCGCCCCCTGGACATGCTGGCAGAGGCATTCCCTCCGAATGGCGTTGCGAGCGGAGTCAGGGTGACCCAGGTTCACGGCGTGCGAGGACTCCAGCTCTCGGCCGCAGACCCCCACGTCTTGAGCTTCCCTGCCTCAAGGGTTTTCTTCAGATGTGACCTCTTCCCTGAGGAGTTTTCCATCGTGGTGACCTTGAGAGTCCCCAGTCTTCCCCCCAAGGTAGGTGGTGCCCACTCTTTGTGTTGGAATGACCTGGTGCTCCTTTGGGACACTCTAACACCAGAGCATGCAAAGGGCGTGATGGACCTCAGTTGTGGCCAGGCACCAGTCAAGGCCTCCTAGCTACTTTTGGGTCAAAGGTGGCCAGCCTTGGTCGGGGGAGAGGCCCCATCACTGTGAGGGTGCAGCCAGAGCCCATGTGACCAGCAGCTGGGGGCCATGCTGGCCTGTCCTGCAATCATCATTTTTCTGGTGTGCTAACCCATCAAAGCCTAGGGACAATGTTTAGAGTTTTCAGTTCGACATCTTTTAGCCAGGACAGTAGACAATAAAATAACAAAAAAATGTGCTTTTGGGTTTGATCACTTGTGATTTGCAGTCCCCCCCAGCCCAGATCCATCTAGCATCTCCATCCACCCCTGCTTGGCAGGAAGCTGCCCTCAAGGCAAGGACTGGTGGTGTCCTTGGCCATTTTGGGAGTTTGGGGCAAATCCTCTATGTTTCTGGTCAGAATCCTTGGTCAAGAAAGGGAAGCCCTTCTCCCTAACTGTGGTCCTGCTTGTAGGCTTTCTCTGCGATGTGATTCTGTCCGGACGTTTTGTGTGGCCCTCTGCCCACAAAGTGTCTCTCCACCATTCCATCAAATCCACAGTCAGACCCAACTGCCGAGTTCTCAGTGCCAATCATTGCATTTTCCAGTTCTATATTTCCCATTTTCTTCTTTTTTGCCTAAATCCCAGCTCTCAGGTTAAAGCCATGCCTTGCCAGCTACTTTCTTGAGCATGACGCCCATATCTGGGGACAAGAACTCCATGCTGTGGATGACCCCACCATGCACACCCCCCAAAGTACTGGCTCTGTTGTCTGCTGTGTCCTTCCATTTCTGTCATGCTCCATAATGTTTACAGCTCTATTGAGCTATATGATTCACACACCCATTTAAAGGATACAATTCAGTGATGTTTAGTGAATTTAATGGATATGTGCAGCCCTCACCACTGTCCATGTAGACATGTTTATCACTTCCAAAAGAAGTCCTGTGCCCTGAGCTCTCCCCCTGCCCACCTCCCAGCACTAAGGACCGAATAATTTACTTCCTGTAGCTATAGGTTTGCCAATTCTGGACATTTCATATGAATGGAATCACATAATATATGGTCTTTACTACTGGTTTCTTCTATGTAGTATGGGTTCAAGTTCATCTGTGTTGTAGCACATATCAAAGTTCATTCCCTTTTATGGCTGAATAATATTCAACTGCATGGATATAGCACAATTTGTTTATCCATTCATCAGTTGATTGACATACATCTTCATTTCTCTTGGGCATATACCTAGGAGTGGAATTGCTGGGTCATATGGTGACTCTACGATTAAGCTTTCAGGAACTGCCAGGCTGTTTTCCAAGGTGGCTGCACCATCTCATGTTCCCACCAGCAGTGCTTGAGGGCTGCAATTACCCCACATCCTTGCCAACACTGTCGTTATCTGATGTTTTATTCAAGCCATTGACATGAGCATATTATGGTATGTCATTGAGGCTTTGATTGGCGTGTCCCTAATGAGTAATGACACTGTATATTTTCTCACGTGTCCTTGCCATTTGTGTATCTTCTTTGGAAAAATGTCTATTTAAGTCCTTTGCCCAGTTTTTAATTGGGTTATTTTCCTTTTTTATCATTGAGTTATAAGAGTTCTTTATATATTCTAGATATAAGCCCCTTATAATATATATGATTTGCAAATGGTTTTTCCCATTCTGTGGGTTGTCTTTTCTATTTTTTGATAGTGTCCTTTGAAGCACAAAACCCTTTAATTTTGACAAAGTGAGGTTTATCTTTATATTTCTTTTCTTGCTTATATGTTCATCATCATATCTTAGAATCTAATGCTAAATCTGAGGCTGTGAAGATTTAATCCCCAACATTTTCTTCTAAGGGTTTTATAGCTTTAAGCTCTTATGTTTTGGTCTTTAATCCATTTATTTTTATATATGGTATAAGGTAGGGGTCCAGCCTTATTCTCTTGCATGTGGATTTCCAGTTGTCCCAGCATTATTTGTTGAAGAGACTTCTTTTCCCATTGAATGTCTTGGCATCTTATTGAAATCAATTGCCCATAGATGTATGGGTTTATTTCTGGACACTCAATTCTAGTCCATTGATATATCAATAAATATTGATTATTGTTTATCTTATGCCAGTACCACACTGCTTGATTATTGTAGCTTTGTAGTAAATTTTGAAACTGAGAAGTGTGGGCCTTCCAGATGTGTTCTTTCTCAAGACTGTTTTGGCTTATTCTGGGTTTCTTGTCATTCTTTATGAGTTTTAAAATCAACCTGTCAACTTTTGCTAAGAAGTCAGCCCGGATTCTGACAGAGATTGCATAAATATGTATATAGATTGGGGGAGTATTGCCTTCTTAACAATATCATGCCTTCTGATCCTTGAGCCTGGGATGTTCTCCTACTGATTGAGATCTTTAACAAAACAAAAACAGTGTTCTGCGCTTCCAGAGTATTAGCATGACAGTTATTCTGTTCCTAAGTATTTGTCCATTTCATCTAATTCATACAATTTATTGGCATACAGTTGCTCATACATTTCTCTCTAATCCTTTTCAATTTCTGTATGCTTGTTAGCAATATGGCCTCTTTAATTTCTGATTCTAATAATTTGAGGCTTCTCTTTTTTCATGATCAGTGTAGCTAACGGGCTGTTGTTTTCTATCTTTTCAAAGAACCAGCATTTGGCTTCATTGATCTTTCTCTATTGTTTTTCTGTTCTCTTCTTCCTTTATTTCTGCTCTATGCTTTATTATTTTCTTCCTACTGCTTGCTTTGGTTTTAGTTTGCCTTCTTTCTCCCTGTCTTAAAGTGGAAGGTTAGGTTATGATTTGTGACCTCTCTTCTTTCTTAATACACTGATAGCTCCAAGTTTCTAGGAAGGCTTTAGTTGCATCTCTTAAGATCTACTTCTTGGTCTTCATTTTCATTCATCTCAAAGTATTTTATGAGTTCCCTTGTCATTTCTTCTTTGACCCTTTGGTTATTTAAGACTGTGTTGTTTAATTTCTACACACTTATGCATTTCCCGAGTGTTTTTCTGTTATTAATTTCCCTTCTGTTGTTGTTATTGATCTCTGAGCTCATTCTATTGTGGTTGGAGAACATGCTGTGCATCATTTCTGTCCTGTTAAACATATTGAGGCTTGTTTCATGGCACAGCATATGCTCTTTCCTGGAGTGTGTCCCACGTGCATTCCTGAAGAATGTGTGTTCTGCTGGTGGGCGGAGGGGTGTTCCGTAGATGTCTGTTAGGTCTGGTTGGATCACAGTGCTGTTCGTGTCCTCTCTTTCTTTGTCAGTCTTATCTCCAGTTGTTCTGTCCATTACTGAAATCGGGATATTGAAGTCTTCACCTAATATTATTGAATTGTCTATTTTCCTCTACATTTCTGCCAGTTTTTGCTTCATGTATTTTGGTGTTCTGTTATTAGCTGCATATGTGTTTATAATTCTTATATATTCCTGATATATGGACCTTTCTATCATTATAAAATGTCCCTCTTTATCTTTACCCTCAATCTTTTGATTGTTTCAACCTAAAGTGTGTGCCTTGTGGAGAGCATAAGGTTGAGTCTCATTTTTGTCTACTCTAACAATCTGCCTTAGAATGGATCAATTCATTCACATTTATGGTTATTATTGATATACAGTTGATGCTCATTACTCACGGATTTTGTATTTGCAAATGCACCTACTTGCTAGAATCGACTTGTAGCCCTACATCGATGCTCATGGGATTCTCCCGGTCACTCACACACATGCACAGAGCAGTGGAACACTTGCTGCCCTGATGCACGTTCCTGGCTGAGGTCCAATAAGGTGATGTTCTGACCTCTTGCTTCAGCTCAGACTGTAACTAGTACCTTGTTGCTGTCCATTTAGTGCCATGTTTCTTAATCATGTACTTCTTATTGGTGATATCACTGCTTTAAATGGCCCCTAAAGTACAAGAAGGCTGTGATGTGCCTTATAGAGAAAAGCCATATATTAGATAAGATTCATTCGGGCTTGGTGGTGTTGCTCTTGGAAGTGAATTCAGTGTTAAAGAACCAACAATAAGTATTTAATGCACATTGTGAAATAAGAGATATTTATGTCTCTGCCTCTGGTTCCTGCTCGTATTTGGACTTCGACCCCAGTTCTTGATGCAGACTTCCTAAATCTCTTGGAACTTCCTGGATGGCAGGAGCATCTTCGGTTCTAGTGAGGGCACCCTGGGCAGGCTCCAGGATGGGGCTGGTCCCCAGAAGGCCTGCGCTGGGAGTGGAAGCCTGGGACTTCCAGCCCTACCCCCTCCTCTGGAGACGGAGGGAGCTGCTGACTGATCATGCCTACATGATGAAGCTCCATAAAAATCTCCCAAGTACAGAGTTTGGAGAGCTTCCGGGTTGGTGAACACATGCATGGGTCATGAGGGGGGCACACCCAGTCCACAGGTACAGAAGTTCCTCTGCTTTGGGGACCCTCCCAGGCATCTAGCTATTTATCTGAATCCTTTCAAATATCCTTTGTAAAAAATCAGCCACAGTACGTAAACTATGTTCCTGGTTTCTCTGAGCCCCCTTTTCTCAAAGCCCAGATTCTGGAGTATTCCCATTCCTGAACCTTCCCTTAAAGTAGATGTTCTGTTGGTAAGAGCAAACCCCTTGGGGCTGGAGCAGAGGGCTGTGATGTGCAGAAAGCCACCTGATTGCTGCTGCCCCTGTCAGAGCACCAGCGTACTTCTCCTGCCTTTCCTCTGGGGACACACATGGGTAGGATGGCCCCGATGACACCCAGGATGTCATTATATAGGATGTAAATAATACAGTGGCATTTACAGCGACCCAGTGTTGCCAAACACAGCATAACACAAACAACAACCAGGAAAGGAGGGCTTCACTCAGCCTGTCACTGGGGCAACAAATGCACCCAGAAGGGGTATAAAAGCCAGCACCCTGGGTACCTCACACACACACACTCACTCACACACTCACACACACACACACACACCCTCCTCCAGCCAACCGCCCAGCATGGCCGCCTCCACCCTTTCCGCCTACTCCAGTGACCTGAGCTACGGCAGCCGGGTCTGCCTGCCCGGGTCCTGGGGCTCCTGCACCAGCCCCTCCTGGCAGGGGGACGACTGCCCCAAGAGCTGCTGTGAGGCCCCCTGCTGCACCCCCAGCTGCTTCCAGTCCAGCTGCTGTGCCCTGGCCCCCTGCCTGACCCTCGTCTGCAACCCCGTGAGCTGTGGGTGCAGCCCCTGCCAGTCAGCCTGCACCAGCTCATGCACACCCTCCTGCTGCCAGCTGTCTAGCTGCCAGCCCTCCTGCTGCGAGACCTCCTCCCCATGCAAGCAGGCCTGCTGCGTGCCTGTCTGCTGCAAGCCCATCTGCTGCAAGCCCGGGTGCTGTAAGCTGGTCTGCTGCACGCCTGTCTGCTGTGAGGCCTCCACTTGCCCAACTTCCTCCTGCTGCCAGCCGTCTAGCTGCCAGCCCTCCTGCTACACTTCCTCCCCCTGCCAGCAGGCCTGCTGTGTGCCCGCCTACTGTAAGCCCGTGTGCTGTGTGCCCGTCTGCTCTGGGGCAGCCCCCTGCCCAGCTCCCCTGTGCTGCCAGCCCACCCCCTGCCCCCTGTCCTGCTGCAGACCCTCCTCCTGCATGTCCCTCATCTGCTGCCCTGTGTGCAGGCCCGCCTGCTGTGTGCCCACCTCCCCCTGCTGTGCCCCTGCCTCCCCCTGCCAGCCCAGCTGCTGCCGCCCGGCCTCCTGCGTGTCCCTGCTCTGCCGCCCCGCGTGCGCCCGCCCTGCCTACTGTGGCCCCACCCTGACCCAGAAGTCCTGCTGCTGATGGGGTGCATCCCCCAACCCTCCTAGGACCAACTTTGACTTTCACCTGTAATCTTGGGAGCCTTGAGCCCCGTCTGGGCTCTCCTTCTGCCCCAGAGCCGCTACCTCTGCAGGCTGGGCTGAGCCCTCCCCGCCCACCGGCCCCAGCGGCTGGCTCTATTTCCTCCATGCCCTGCGTCTCACTAGGTCCTACTCTCCATCCCGGCTGGACTCTGTTGACAATGTTCTGCTCTCTGTAAGTGACCTGTCTGTCACAATAAAGCCCCTGCCTGTCTCTCTCTGAAGGTCTTGAATGCATATCTGGGCGAAGCATGGGGATAAGGGCTGATGCGGCCTGGGCTTCCCTGAGACCTGGCTGTGGGCTGCATCTGGGGCAACAGCACCACTGGGCAGGCCAGGCCTACCAGGTCGCCCTGCAGCCTCCAGCTCAGATAGACCCGCCTACTGGAGCCGCCTGTGCTTCTCAGAAATCAGTGAGGGATGGGGGCCGCTTGTCCAGGCCCTGGGCCTGTCACACTGAGGCCTTGGGGCTTTGCTAGGGGCAAAGGAGACCCCACTTAGTAAAGCATCTGCCTTCAGGGCGTGAAGCCCACCCAGGGCCAGCTTTGGGCAGGCTGGTGCCAATCACGTCCAGCGACCCCAGGCTCAGAGCGGGTGCTGCCCGCTGTGTGAAGGTACCAGGATGGTGAGAGCCATGTGCAGTGACCATGGGGGCCTGTGTCAATCACGGCTGTCTGGGGAAATAACTAATGGGGTTGTGTGTGTGCACACAGCGATTCACGTTGAGGACGTGGCTCATGGGGCTGTGCAGACTGGAGGGTCGGAAGGCTCCAGGGCCGGCTCCCAGGGGCACCGTGGTGCTGCATCCCAAGTGTGAAGGCTGTCTGCTGGTAGGATTTCCTCCTTGGTGGACCTCAGTCTTTTCCTTAAGGCCTTCAACTGACTGAAGGGCCCACCCATGTATGGCAGATAATCTGCTTTGCTCAGTCTGCTGATTCAAAGGTTATTCTCTTCTAAGAGATACCTTCAGCCCAGCATCCAGATGTGTTTGACTGAACATCTGGGCACATGCCTGGCCACGAAGACACATAACATTAACCATCACGGGGGACCTATAGCCAGGATTCAGATATTTGGAAGTGGTGGGAACTCACTGGGTGCCTCCGGGAATTCAAGGAGTAAGGCTGGTTGCCTCTCAAAAAATACCCAGAGTGATTCACACTGATGCTGCAGAGCTGGGGCTGGGCAGGCACATCAGGAGGGCGCAGGACGCTGGGTTCCCATGGGGAAGGGCTTTGGCCGGAAGGGCCTCAGATGCCCTCTGGCCACATTTGAGGGAAACCGAGGCACTGTACAGACCCTAGGTCAGAAGGAAGCAGGTGTCCCATGGAGGGCATTTCTTGGGCCCAAGCACCATTCCCACTTCCAGGGATCCCCACCCGAGAGCCTGCAGATGACAAGACAGCCCCCCATGAGCGCAGGTGGGGCAGCTGGGCTCCCGACCTCTGCCCTGCATGACCCACCCTCGTCTTCTGACCAACCCTCTCCTTCCAGGCCAGGGGCCTGCAGGCACCTGCCTCTCTCCAGCCGGTCCTCCGTCTGCGCACAGTCCTCAGCGTTGCCCTCTCGCTGTCCCCACAGACCTCTGAATTGGCTCAAGCCCTAGTGTGATGGCCCAGCCCAGGGGGACTGGGCACTATCTCCCTGGCAGCCACTCCCCACCACTCTTTAGAGTTTTTTACTCCTGAAGATACTTTAACCTGACCTTTTATTTCTTTACCTGTCTGTGTGTTTGTTTTACAGTCCGAGGGTGGGGACTACGTACCTTTGCATGTCCATTTCAGGGTTCTGCCATGCCTGCCTGGTCTTGCCTATGATGCCTTCTTTCCTGGCATGCTTAGTTATGTCTGGCTGAGTAATGGTCCTTGTCCTCGGCTCTGATTTCTGTCCCCTTCATCCCATAAAACTGTTTAATCCCAAGTTTCCAGATCAGCATGGGCCCTTGAAAACAAAGCAACTTCTGGTTCTGCTAAACACCTGGGCTCTTTGAGCTTAGATCAGAAAAAAGACCACATCTTTATTTTCAGGAACCTCTAACTGAAGTTCCTTTTGGTTGGGGATGTAGTCAGCAAACCCTAGTGGTAGTGGCAGAACTTGAGCCTTTGTCACCAGCAGAAACTAGATCAGTGGGCCTCCCTGGGGCTGTTTAAGGTGGTCAGTCTGCACAGCCAGGTGGGCGTGACCCTGGGGGAGTGCCAGCTGCTGATGTCTTCATTCGTTTTTTTGCATTTAGTAATCAACTAAATCTCCTTTGTAACCTACTAGGCATTTTACTTTATTCATTTAATAACAGCCAAAGGTTTCTCAAGCTGGCTGGGGGTCCACAGCATAGAGAGGGCCAAGGTTCCCTGACCTGCCTCCTGATTCCTGGTGCTCTTGACAGCTTTCCGTGGTTCCGGGAAGATGCCCCAGCGTTTCCCATTGTTTTTAGCAGGGCTCTTGGTTAAATCTCTGTAGTGACATTTGAGTCTCACTGGGACCATTTAGGCATTTTCCAGAGAGCTCCCCAGTGGGCCGCAGTGAGTCCATTCCTGAGGGTCCCTTCCCTTCCAGCTCTTGTACTTGAATAGACCCAGGTAGTGGGTATCCCCTAGCTTGTCGTGGGAAGTCTGTGCAAACCCAGTTCCAAGTCGGGAAGACCCTGCGCCAGGAGCGCAGCCCCTGCAGGGGAGGTCCTGGCGCCTTGACCTTTGCAGCTGCCCTGGAGGGAGGGGGCTCTGAGGCCCGCGAGCCTACCAGCCTGAGCCCCTGCCATGGGCACTTCTCCCCTGCCTTGTCAGACGGCCACACCCCCCGGCGGCTGGGGTGCTGGGAACCCACAAGCTCCCCGCATGCAGGGAGCCACCGCCGCCTCCTCCTGTCCGCTCCAGTCTCAGGCACGATTCGCGGAGCGGGAGCCCCGGGCAGGCTGGGCGTCTCCTGCTCTGCAGGACTTTCTGTTGTCCGGTTTGTTCCACGTGACAGTAGCTGCCATCTTTTTGGTTTTTACTTTACGAATCATTTCAAGAGATTCTTTTTCATCTAGTAAGAAATATTAGATGAAATTTACTTTATAACTGATAACTTAGCTCTGGATTCTGCCAGTTTGATAAAGTTCTGTGCTTTGTAAACTTTCTTTTTGTTTGTTTTGCTTTTTGTCTTTAAAATATCCACCATGGTATCTTTTCCTTCTACTTTTTCTGCTATTTTGAAAGAAAAATGTTCTGTTTGTACTTATACTATACTGTTGAGTTTTCCTTCACATTTGTGTTTTAATAAAGTCATGAATGAAACAACACAATGTGAGAAGTTTCTATTTGAGGCAGAATTGACTTTGTTTCTCCCAACCTGGTCACCATCCCACCCACACCCTCCCACTTGTCCGTCTTTTTAGTGCCAGCTAAGTAGAGCTCTCCAACAGACACAGTGAGCAAGCCTCATATGTAATCGTAGTATCATAAAACCCACATTTAAAAATGAAACAGAAACAGTGAAATTAATTTAATAACATTTTATACAACCCAGGTATTCAAATTGTGATCATTTCATCATGTGGTACTGGCTACTTTTCAAGTGCTACATTTTCAGTGGCCACGTGTGGTTAGTGGCCCTCACACGATGCAGCACGGAATGGAGAGTCACTGTTCAGTAGGATGCATCATACCGTGCAAGGCAGAACAAAGTGCGATTTACATTTGCCTTTGGAACCAACCTCACTGGTTGTTTAGACGTACCCTGTGGTTTGATTCTTGCGTCCGTGCCAGCCCGACGCTTCCTTATGTGTTCATTTGCCGAACTTCTGGTATTTTTTCAAGAGGGATGCCTGAGTGGAGTTCCATCTAAGGTCTTGCCTATGTGCAAATACGTTGCTGCTGTCTTTACTTGAGAAAGATGTAATGATTGGAAAAAAGAAAATATCAGCCTCAGTGCCCTATGTTCCCCAGAAGCTCTGAGCCTCTCACTGTTGGATGGAGGGGCAGTGGGGCCCTGGTGCTGGTCCGTCTCCGGGCAGCGTGCCCTTTCCCCCCGCGCAGCAGTGGGACTGATCTCAAGCCTTTTCATTTAAGAACTTGCCGATCTGTGCACAGGGCAGACTCTGATGACCTGATGACCTGGAAACCCCCAAGTCCTCGCCCCGGAGATGCACACCTTGTCCGCGCAGCCCAGAGCGCCTTGTCTGCAGTTGTTTCTTTGGTTGCTGTTTTGATCCTGATTGACGCTCTTCCCTCCCTAGCAACTGAGTTGCTGTTTCCATCTCAGCTTAACACACAGTCTATTTATAACATTTTCCCTCAGTTACCTTTTATTTCTGGTATGGATGGTACTACCAGCACTTCTGTCTGTAAAGCTGTGGAACTGCGCCTCCCTGGAGCTTGTTCCACCCCTTCCAGCCTCCACTGTGAATCTGCGACCCAGCTGCTCCTTCAGTGTCCTGGAGGCCTGGCTGCCTTCCATCTCCACCACTGTGCTTGGAATGGGAAGGGCCTGGTTCAGAGGGTGGGTCCTGTAAGCACCAGGCAGCTTCCAGTGCCACGTCGGCCACATCAGGCCGCGCAACCTGAGCAGGCTGCTTGGTCTCTGTGCCCAGCCTCCTCGTCTGTTCACTCCCTCCCCAGCTGATGAGGTGATGGCGTGAAGGGCTCAGACCACCACCTGCCATAGAACTTGTGCTCAGAAAACATTACCCAATATTAGCAGCATTGCCAGCAGTGCTGTGACCAGGACCGTTTTCTAAGGCAGTGAGGTTTCACCAAGTCTGGCTGTGTGGCTCTGTCCCAGGCTCCCTGGGACCATAGCTTCTTGTGTCCATGACCGAAACCTGGGGTTTCCTTCTGGGTGTTGCCCTAGACCCACAAGCCTCCATGGCTCACACGCAGTCTTCAGGAGCAGAGGCTCTCCCTGGACTAAGTCCTTCTGGGCATCGTCTTGAGTGAAGCGAATTCTGACCAGTGTGTATGTGGTGGGTGTTTGCTCAGCCAGGGAGCGTGGAGGGCAGGGTGTGTACTGACAGCCACCCATGTCTGGGAGAAATACTGAGGGACACTGGACAACCCGGGTGAGCACCCCAGCCCGTCCTGGGCCCCCATGCCCACGTCACAGCCCCACTGACTCAGAGGCCATGTGCATCCCTGGTGAAGATGCTGCCCCTCGGTCCCTTTCACCTCTGGCCGTCCACACTCACAGCAGCTGCTCCTGCTGGAGCTGCTTCCCCAGGGCAGACCCCGGGCCTGGGGGGCGGCAAGGTGGTATCTGTGTGAGGATCTCCTCCTGCCCCTGTGGGAAGGTGGCATTTGACCGTCTCTCTGATCTAATCCTCTGAGCCAGTTGTACTTTTACAAGTTATACAAGTGTCACTTTACATCAAAAATTTTAAATGGTCAAAGGTGATAAAAAAAATATGTAGAGCTGTCCTTACACAGGAAAGATGAAGCCAAAAATAGTCACTTCAGAAAAGTGTCCACCTCTAAACCTCACAAATATTGTCCTCACATGTTTTCCATAACTTTTCTGAAGTCAAAAAAGGAGGTTCGTAACACATCCTGCAACAACTCACAAGACCAATGAGCAAAACTAATTACAGAAAATAAATCAACACTAATAAGGGGTCTCCTGCACCAGCTCTTAGCACCAAGCAGGAAGGGAGGGCCTCCCTCAGCCTGCTGTTGGGGCAACACAAACACTGATGAAGGGTATAAAAGCTGCAGCCCTGAGCACCTCACTCACACTCACACACTCACACACACACACACACACACACACACCCTCCTCCAGCCCACCACCCACCATGGCCACCTCCACCCTGTCCATCTGCTCCAGCGACCTGAGCTACGGCAGCCGGGTCTGCCTGCCCGGGTCCTGGGGCTCCTGCACTGGCTCCTCCTGGCAGGGGGACGACTGCCCTGAGAGCTGCTGTGAGCCCCCCTGCTGTGCCCCCAGCTGCTGCCAGTCCAGCTGCTGTGCCCCGGCCCCCTGCCTGACCCTCGTCTGCACCCCCATGAGCTGTGGGTGCAGCCCCTGCCAGTCAGCCTGCACCAGCTCATGCACACCCTCCTGCTGCCAGCTGTCTAGCTGCCAGCCCTCCTGCTGCACCTCCCCGTGCCAGCAGGCCTGCTGTATGCCCGTCTGCTGCAAGCCCATCTGCTGCAAGCCCATGTGCTGTGTGCCCATCTGCTCTGGGGCTGCCCCCTGCCCAGCGCCCCCATGCTGCCAGCCCACCCCCTGCCCCCCATCCTGCTGCAGACCCACCTCCTGTGTGTCCCTCATCTGCCGTCCCATGTGCAGGCCCACCTGCTGCATGCCCACCTCCCCCTGCTGTGCCCCCGCTTCCCCCTGCCAGCCCAGCTGCTGCCGCCTGGCCTCCTGTGTGTCCCTGCTCTGCCGCCCCACGTGCGCCCGCCCCACCTGCTGCTGACCCACTCGATCCCCAGGCCAGAAGGGCTTGGTCCCTCAGCAGGAGGGGTGAGCACAGAGACACTGGCACTTAGCCTCCCCTAGGAGTTTAAACCCACAGAAAGAACACTTGTGGGGTATCTTCTCTGTGTCCCAGGAATCTGACAGCTGCTTCCACGGCCATCCCAGAACCCAAGCACAGGCCACCATCCTCATGGGCAACCCGATCCCCCCACCCCCATCCCTCCTGCTGTCCCGCCCCTCATCTGTCCCAAGGGAGCACCTAGCCGCCTGCCTGATAAGCTGGCTCTCTGCACCCTATATGCTGCTTGTGTCTTCTCTCCAGCTCCAAGTGGGGTGCAGCAGGGGCTGGGGGGAGGGTGCACCCCCAGGATGCCAGGACTCTGGAAGGTGACATCCCATGACTTTTCGTGGGGATAGAGAAGCAGGAAGATCCTGGAGTCCAGGGCCTGACAGGACACTGAGTGGCCACCTGTGCTGCTGGCTGAGGTCCCCAGCCAAGGCCCTGTGCTCTCCTGCCAACGTCCCCACATGAGCTAGGAGGTGGCACTGCAGCCACAGTCGATCACGAAGACCTCGGGAGGCCTGGCACTGCGGAAGCCCATCCCCACATCCTGCCTTCTCCTCCTGGCCCCCGTGGCCCTCCTTGCCAGTGTTCTTGCATCCTTGCTGGATCCTTGCTGCATCACAGGCCCCCTGTCCTGGAGGACACCCCTCTGCTCTCCTGCAGGCTCCTCTGCTCTGGTGCTGCACGCAGCCCCTGTCTGAGCCTGGCTCAGGGCTGGGCAGTGGCCTGAGGCGCTGCCCGCCCAGCCTGCTCCCTTCCCACTCTGTAATCAGAGGGTCGGGTCAGCTTTCGATGCCTTAAGTTTCTCCCTCCTGCCCCTGGGCTCCTTTTTACCTGCCTCATGCATTTCCACAATAAACTCCTTGCAACCCACCCTGACTTGGCATTTACTTCTTAGGGGACCCAGTCTGCCAAATGCACCATTACTTTTGTACATACAAAGAAAAAAGGCACCTTACGGAGACCCAGTACTCTATCAGTGCTCTTACATGAACCCAAATAATTCACACCAGCCCCTTGTTGCCTTTCAAGTACTCCAGTCCATTCCAGGGGATTGGGCAACATCTTCACTTCATCTCCATGCATCTCAATTCCAAACTTGATGGCTTCATCTGCTTGTTACTGGGGGGTATCACCTTTTCTTGGATCCTGCAAAGAACTTGCTTGTTTAAATATATAGATTTGTGGTGATCCCTCCAGCAGTGAGGATGTGCTTTGTTGAGGGAGAAGTGGAATATACCTTCGTGAGCTCTTACACCACACCTACAGTGGCTGCTATAATTTCAAGATGGATGGTATTAAGTTAAAGATACATACTAGAAACCCTATAATGCAAATAAAATGTGACAGAATGTAAAACAAAGATCTTGGCTAGGAAGCAACAAAGGAAATTACATCAATTACAAACAAAATCAAGTCATCCAACAGAAGGCAGAAAATAGGGAAAGGGGAAGGAAGAGCACATGGGACCAACAGAAACAATAGGAAGACAACACACTAAGCCTCACTGTGTCAACAATCACAGTAAATGTAAATGGTCTAAATTATCCAGTTAAGAGACAGAGACTGGTACATCAGTTAAAACAAAAATAAGGCCTAAATTTATGCAGCTTATAGGAAACTCCATTTAAATAGAAGATGAAAACCGGTTAAAAGTGAAAGATGGAAAAGGATATAGCAGGCCAACATTTATCATAGAAAGCTGCAGCAGTTACACTAATATCATAGGTATACATCCCACATCAAAGAATATTGCCAGGGACCAAGAGGGTCATTTCATAATGACAGAGGAGTCAATTAATCCCAAATGTTATGCACCTATTACTAGGACCTTCTAAGTACATGGATCGAAAACTGATAAATGGCAATGAGATATGGACATAGCTAAGTTTATATTGTGAGATTTCAGTAATCCTCTCTCAATACCTTATGGAACAAATAGACAGAAAACTGAGAAGGATATAGACAGCTCAAGCAATCTTGAGAAAGAAGAACAAAGCTGGGGGGATCACACTCCTTGGTTACAAACTATACTACAAAACTACAGTAATCAAAACAGTATGGTACTGGCCCAAGAACAGATGCATACAGATCAGTGGAATGGAATAGAGAGCCCAGAAATAAACCCATACCTATGTGGTCAATTAATAGATGAGAAAGGAGGCAAGGATATGAAATGGGAAAAAGACGGTTTCTTCAATAAATGGTGGTGGAAAACCAGACAGCTGCACACAGAAGAATGAAACTGGATGTCGATGTCTAACACCATACACAGAAATAAACTCAAAAGGGATGAAAGACCTAAAAATAAGACCAGAAACCATAAAACTCCCAGAAGAAAACATAGGCAATAAACTCTCAAACAACAGTCTTAGTAATTTCTTTCTGGATATGTCTCCCCAGGCAGGGCAAAGAAAAGCAAAAAATAGACAAGTGGGACCACATCAAACTAAGAAGCCTCTGCACAGCAAAGGACACCATCCACAGAACAAAAAGGCAGCCTGCCAAGTGGGAGAATACATTCGCGAATGATAAATCAGATCAGGGACTAATATCCAAAGTATATGAAGAACTCATACACCTCAACACCCAAAAACATCCAATTTCAGGCAGAGGGCCTGAATAGACATTTTTCTAAAGAAGACATGTGAAGGCCAATAGGCACATGAAAAGATGCCCAACATCACTGATCATCAGGGAAATATAAATCAAACCCACGATGAGGTGTCACCTCACACCAGTCAGAATGGCTAACATCAACAAGGCAAGAATTAACAAGTGTCGGTGAACACGTGGACAAAAGGGAGCTCATGCATGCTGGTGGGACTGCACACCGGTGCAGCCACTCTGGGGGGTGGTATGGAGGTTTCTCAGAAAACTAAAACTAGAAATACCACCTGACCAGCAATTCCACTTCTGGGAATTTACAGGAAGAAAACAAAATCAATAATCCACAAAGATATATGCACACCTATGCTTACTACAGCATTATTTATACTATCCAAGATATGGAGGCAACCTAAATGTCCGTGCAGATGAATGGACAATGAGTATGTCATGTGTACACACACACACACACACACACACACACACACAGAGGAATATTACTCAGCCATAAAATCGAATGAAATCTTGCCATTTGTGACATGGATGGACCTAGAGGGTATTAGGTTACATGAAATAAGTCAAGCAGAGAAAGACAAATACCCTGTGATTTCACCTAAATGTTGACTCTAAGAAGTAAAACAAGTGAACAAACAAACAAAGCTGAATCAAACTCATAAACATGACAACAGACTGCTGGTTGCAGTAGGGGACGGGCTGGAGAATAGGAGAAACAATGAAGGGGGAAAATTAACCAGAATGTTTGGTGCCTTGATCTGGGTGATGTGTGTACATGTGCCAAAATTCATCCAGCTCTACACTGAGATTTGTGCATTTGTTTGTATGTACCTCAATATAAAAAATTTTAATAAAATTCACAAGAAAACAAGAGGGGTATAGTAGAGACAACTTGAACAATACCATAACCAACTTGAACTATTTGACCTTTAAAGGACACTCCACCCAAAACAGAATAGCCATTCTTTTTAAGCGCATGCAATACATGTACCAAGATAGACCACATTTACTGAGATGGACCATATTTGGGTTTGTAAAACAAGTCTCTCTAAATTTGCAGGGACTTAAGACACACAATGTATATTCTCTCATCACAATGGAACTGAAGTCAAAATCCAGGTACAGAAAGATCTTACAAAATCCTGACTCTTTAGAAAGGAAATAGGCCTCCATGTAACCCATGGATCAAAGAAGAAAGAAAAGGGGGAATCAGAAGATATTTTGAACTGCATGAAAGTGGAAACACAATGTGTCGAAACTTGTGGGCGCTGCTCCGGCCTCACCAGCGGGGAGTTCATAGCCCTGAATGTCCATGAGGGAGAAGATGCGGTCCTCCGATGAATGAATGGCCTCGACTCCCACGGTAAGAAAACCAGAGGCAACTTAAACTCAAAGAAGAAAGACAGTAACAACACCAGAGCGGAAGATAAAGCAGCGAGGCGGGAAACAAATACAGGAAATCACAGACCCAAAGCTGTGTCTTGCGAAGACCAGCAGAACTGACAGCTCATTAGCCAGACCAGCCGGCAAAATGGAGAGAAGACATTAGCCAGTAACAACAAGAGGGACACCTGCACAGGTGGCACGTTCACTGCGGGTACCATGAGGGCCGTTACGGGGTCCCTGAAATGGACAAACCCCTGAGAAAACACAAATGCCAGAATCCAGGGCAGAAGCAGCCCTCTGTAGTTCACACCCTCCCACAATTGCCTGTCCCTGGGCACGGGTGGTCAGCCCCCTGGAGCACCCTGCCATGGAGCCTAGCAAGTGGACACCACACACGGCACCAGGACAGGCTGCTGTGGACCTAAGTGGGTCAGTGTCAGAGAGTGGCTCCTGTGTGGCCATTGAGCATTCTGGGAACAACAAAATAGAGATGGAGAAGAGATGGGGCTGCCGGGCTGCAGAGAGAGTGCCTGGGCGCAGACACGCAGGGCCAGATGGGAGCGTGGTGGCCACCACAGTTCTGTCTGTGCTGGGTGGCACGATCCACACATGACCACATGCGTGAACACACACACACACACACACACACACACACACACACACACAAAAATGAGGCATGCAGCCTGGTGGTGGTTGGGACCTGCATGGCCGAGCTCTGGCTGTGATTTGGCCTGGAGGGACGCCAGCGAAGGGCCCCTGGGAGGCCCTGGATCATTGTTTTATGACTTCTTCAAAACTATAATTTAAAAATCTTTCTACAGAGAAACCTCCAGCCCTGATGGCCCCACTTGTGAAATCTACCCAGAGAAACACCAAACCCAGAGTGTAGGCCGGGCTGCGCCCACTCCTGCCAGCCACGGGGGCGCAGGCCATGTGGGGAACTGTGACCCGCTGGCTGCCCTGCACCTCCCCCGAGCTCCCACCAGGGAGCTGCCAAACCCTACGTGTCACCGAAGTCTCTAGAGCCTTCCTTCCACAGCTGACACGGCCTCCATCGCACCCACACGGACGCCCTGCCAATGTGCCACCCCGGGGATGCCCCAGCCCAGTGAGCCCCCAGCCCTGCCACAGCCCAGGTGTGGCTACTAGGGCTGAGTCAGGGGATGGAGCCCTGAGGGGCTCACAGCACAGCCCCTCTGCCCCTGCCAGCACACGGCCTCCTGGCCAAGGGACCCAGCTGCCCTCCAAGGCCCTCCCCAGGCTGCCTGAGCAGGTCTGCACTCACGCAGTCCGTGGGGCCCCTCACGCCACACACAGCCCACCAGGGGCCACCACGGTCATCTGCCACTGGAGTCACAGTCCCCAGAGCCCCCATGAGGGGACCCACAGGAGGAAGAGCTTGACCTCGGCGTGGCCCCAGCACCACTCCCCAAGGACCCCACAGGGGGTCAGGCGGTTACTGGGGCAGCCCCGGGGACCCTGACTCACCTGAGGCTCCCGGGCTTAGTGCGCCACCAACAAGGGTGGGCGCACGTGGGCCTCCTGGGAGAGCAGTGCCAGCCGGGGGCCAGACATACAGGCCTGCAGCCCCGGCACCCCACACACTCACTCACACACACACCCCTCCAGCCCGCCGCCCACCATGGCTGCCTCCACCCTGTCCATCTGCTCCAGTGACCTGAGCTACAGCCGCCGGGTCTGCCTGCCCAGGTTCTGGGGCTCCTGCACCGGCCCCTCCTGGCAGGGGGACGACTGCCCCGAGAGCTGCTGTGAGCCCCCCTGCTGTGCCCCCAGCTGCTGCCAGTCCAGCTGCTGTGCCCCGGTCCCCTGCCTGACCCTTGTCTGCACCCCCGTGAGCTGTGGGTGCAGCCCCTGTCAGTCAGCCTGCACCAGCTCGTGCACACTCTCCTGCTGCCAGCTGTCTAGCTGCCAGCCCTCCTCCTGCACCTCCTCCCTGTGCCAGCAGGCCTGCTGTGTGCCTGTCTGCTGTAAGCCTGTGTGCTATGTGCCCATCTGCTCTGGGGTTGCCCCCTACCCGGCACACCCATGCTGCCATCCCATCCCGTGCCCCCCATCCTGCTGCAGACCCTCCTCCTGTGTGTACCTCATCTTCTGCCCTGTGGGCAGGCCTGCCTGCTGTGTGCCCACCTCCCCCTGCTGTGCCCCCGCCTACCCCTGCCAGCCCAGCTGCTGCTGCCCAGCCTCCCGCATGTCCCTGTTCTGCCACCCCGCGTGCGCCCGCCCCACCTGCTGCTGACCCACTCGATCCCCAGGCCAGCTGGGCTCAGGCCCAGCTGGGACTGGTCCTCCAAGCCTCCCCTCAGTCCAGTCCTGACCTGTGTTAGGCGGCTGCCCGCCTCAGGATAGGGTCGCCCCCTGTGTCCACCATCCTGACCTGACCTCTGACCCCTGCCTCCCAGGAGGCACCTCCACTGCCTCTGGGTCACCTGTCCTTCCTTCCCCATGTCTCTGCTCCTTGGGTCCCTGGACCTCCACTTCCAACCTCGGTTCCCCAGTAAACCCACTGCCCCACCTCACTGCCTCCTTTCCTTGGACACTCTTGGGGATGGGGGTCTCAGGGTTTTAGCCAGACGTTGTCTCCTCCAGCCACAAGTACTTCTCGGACCGAGGCTGGGAGCTCCCAGAGGGCATGGCTAACTGCTTGGGGCAGGGCCCCCGGGTGGGACCCCAACTGTTGCCCAGGAAGGCCACTGTTCTCAGGCTTCCCTGAGCCTGGGCGCCGAGCCTTGCCATGGTCTGGGGGCTCTCTCTGCCCTGGGCCCCAGAGTCACCTGTCAAGAAGCAAGGCTGGAGGTTCCACACAGCACAGCCTCTGAGGGCCCTGGGGGCCCCTTAGTGTCTGCCTTTGGGTTCCGTCATTTAGCATAAATGTGATGAGGGTGGGGGGAGCTGCTCCCAGCAGATGGGTAACAAACTGGATACCTTCCCACCTGGGCCTGTGCAAAATATGGATAAAACTATGAAACAGTGGTGTTCCAATATTGAATTCGTGGAGCACAAACCCACTTGGTCCAGCTCAGCACCTGAAGAATATTTGCAGGCCCTCATGTGGAAATGGGACCTATTTGGGGCCCCATGGACTGCTGAATTTCTTAGATGGCCATGGAGTTGGGGAGAGCCAGGCGGCTAGTGTCTGGGGCCAGAGTTCCCAAGAGCAGAGGGCTGCACCAAGTAAGTGCTCTGGCCACAGAGGGTGTCCCTCACATGTCACCTGCGTGCTGGTCAGCAGACCAGATGCTGGAGACTGGAAACCCCGTGCTGGCAGGCAGACTGATCGTCAGAGACCAAACACAGCCTCAAATGGGCCTGTCAGCCCACTGCCAGCTCTGGATTCTTGGGCATCTGAGGCAGTCTGCTCAGAAGGGGTCCCCTTGGTCCTGGGTGAGATCAGCCCTCAAGAATCCAGAGGTCTCATCCTGCTGGCAAAGGTATGCACTGGTCTCAGGGAGTGAGTGATTTCCCAGCATCCTAGCTACAGCCTGGAACAAAGCTCAGAATCATCAGGGATAATGTATTCAAGAGGTTAGAGAATAGATTAAGCAAGTATATTAAGGAAAGATGAAGAAGATTTAAAAAGATAAAGCTGGAACGCTGAGAGAGTGAAGCTGCAGTATTGGAGGGGAAGGTGACACTAGACGGGGTTAACAGAAGAAAAGTCACTGCAGAGGAAAGAGCAGTACGCTTGAAGGCAGAGAAATGGAGCGATGCACGTGGAGTACACAGAGGAGAGAGAGACGGACAGAGCGTCGGCAAGCTGGGGATCGGCTCCCAGGGACCCGTGTGTGATTGGAAGTCCCAAAGAAGACAGAGGGGAACAGGGGAAAAAGAGTCTCACTGGAGAAAAGACACACCCCGGCCATGCGCCCCATGGCCATGCACTTCAAATATACAGCAACAAAGAGGTCAGAAATTAAAAGTGGAAAAAGAAGAGTAAATTAAACCCCAAGCTGGCATATAGTGTGGAAGTTTTGATACAGATTAAGGCAGAAATGGATGAAATTGGAAACAGTAAAACAATAATGATTATCAAGAAATCCAGAGCTTTTTTTTGAAATGACAAATAAATTTGATAAACTGTGGCTAGACTGAGAAGGTAAAGCATAATATCAGGAATGGAAGAGGAGGAATTACTACAGACCCCACAGATAACAACAGCATTAAAAGGGAGGAGAGCAAACAACTCTATTCCCCAAAAATGGACAATTAAGATGAAATGGACTCATTGATTGAAGACATAAAGTACCAAAACTCATTCAAGAAAAAAGATAACCTTGATTGTCCAATATCATTTTAATAGACTTTGTTATTTACGGCAGTTTAGGTTCCCAAAAAACTGAGTGAAAAGTGCAGAGTTCCCATACAGCGCCCCCCAACACAGCCTCTCTACCATCAGCATCTTGTGATATTGATACACTTGTTATGACCAATTAACCTACACGGACACATCAGTATCACCCGATGTCCTTAGCTTACATTTGGGTTCAATGTTGGTGTTGTATGTTCTATGGGTTTTGATAAATAGATGACATATATGGATCAATATAGTTAATAGAAAATAGCTTCCCTGCCTTGAAAAATCCTCTGTGCCCTGCCTACTCACCCCTCCTTCCCTGCTCAGCACTGGCAACCACTGATGTTTTTACTGTGTGCATAGTTTTGTCTTTTCCAGGATGTCGTATACTGGGAATCACATCATATGGAGACTTCTCAGGTTTCTTTTTTTCACTTAGTAATGTACATTTAAGGTTTCTCCATGTCTTTTCATGGTTTTATGGCTCATTTCCTATTTTTTCTTCCTGATTTTGTATTCAGGTAAAATACACATAACATGAAATTTACTACCTTAACAATTTTTAAGTGTGCGCTTCAATGTTACCTACATTCATAAAGTTATTCAACCATCTCTTTTCATCTTGCAAAAATGAAATTCTGTTCTCATTAGCACAGCTCCCCATTCCCCTTTCCCAGCCCCTGGCACCCACCATCTACTTTATTTGTCTGTGATTTTGACTACTCTAAGTACCTCATGTAAGTGGAATTACACAATATTTGCATTTTTCACACAGCCTTATTTCACTTACTGTAATATCTTCATGGTTTGTCCATGTTGATGTCATATATACTTTTTAAGGCTGAAGAAACATTTCATTATATGGATAAATCTCATTCTGCTTGTCCATTCATCCATCAATGGACACTAGGGTTGTTTCCACATTTTAGCTATTGTGAGTAATGCTGTTATGAACATGAGGTTTACAGATATCTCTTCACAATTCAGCTTTTAATTCTTTTGAGCAAATACTCAGTATAATTACTGGATCATGTGGTAATTATACTTCTAATTTTTTGAGGAACTGCCATATTCATTTCCACAGTAACTGTACCTTTTCATTGTTCCTGCTAACAGTGTCTAAGTATTACAATTTCTCTACATTCTCACCAACACTTGTTGCTTTCTGTTTTTTAAACATATATATTCTAGTTATCCTAATGGATGTCAGGTGGTATCTCATTGTAGTTTTGATTTGCATTTCTGTAATGATCAGTGACTAAGCATCTTTTCTTGTGCTTTTTTGTTATTTGTATGTCTTCTTTGGAAAAATGTTAATTCAAGTCCTTTGCTTATTTTTGAACTGGCTTGTTTGCTTTTCTTATTATTGAGTTTTAGGAATTCTCTATACATTCTGAATATTAGTTCTTCATCAGATACATGATTTTCAAGTGCTTTCTCTTCCATTTCTTTGGATTACCTTTTTTTCTCTGTTGAAACTGATGATATTCTTTGTCAATTTTGATGCAAAAATATTTAGTTTTCATGAAGTCTAATTGTATGTTTTTTTTATATTGCCTGTGCCTGTGATGTCATATCCAAGAAATCGTTGCCAAACTCAGTGTCATGCAGTTTTGCCCCGTGTCATCTCCTGAGAGCTTTATACCTTTAGGCTGTGCATCCGTTCTGAGGGAATCTTTGTATATGCTGTTCCATGCGGTGTGACTTCATTCTTTTGCGTAGGAATATACTGTTTTCCCAGCACCATTTGTTGAAAAGATTGTCTTTGCTCCATTGAATGGACTTTGTGTCCTTGTCAAAAATGACCTTATATGTAATGGTTCATTTCTTTATTCTATTCCATTGGTCCTCCTGTCTGTCTTTACGCCACTACCATGCGGTTTTGATTATTGTTAGCTTTGTAGTATGTTTTGAAACCAGGAATTGTCAGCTTTCCAGCTTTGTTCCTTTTCAGGATTGTTTTGGCTCTTCAGGGGTCCCTTGAGATTCCCTATGAATTTTATGATGAGTTTTTACATTTCTGCAAAAAAAAGGGTCATTGCGATGTCGACAGCAATCGCATTGCCTCTGTAGATTTCTTTGGATTCAATCGTAAGTCTTCCAATCCATGAACAAAGGATGCCATTCCATTTATTTAAGTCTTCTTTAATTTCTTTCAGCAATTTTGTGTAGCTTTCATTGTATAGGCCTTTCACCTCCTTGGTTAAGTTAATTCCTAGGGTATTTTACTCTTTTTGTAAATTGTAAATGAAATTGTTTTCTTAACTTCCTTTTGGGGTTGTTTATTATTTGTGTTTAGAAATGCAAACTGATTTTTGTATATTGGCTTTATATCCTGCTATTTTGCTGAATTCATTTATTAGTTTTAACAGCATTTTTGTGGAGTCTTTAGGGTTTTCTACTTATAAGATCATAGTGTCTGTGAACAGAGATGATCTTACGTCTTCCTTTCCAGTCCAGATTCCTTTTACGTCTCCTATTGTCCCCCTGCTCTCCTAGGACGCCTAGTACTATGGATACAAGTGGCAAGAGGGAGGCCTGTGCCTCATTCCTCATGTCAGAGGAAAAGCTTTCAGCCTTTCAACACTGATATGATCACTGCTGTGGGGTTTTCATGTGTATTTTTTACTATGTTGATGTAGTTTCCTTCTATTCCTAGTTTTGATGAGTCTTTTTATCATGAAGCTGTTGAATTTTGCCAAATGCTTTTTCTATATCAATTGTGATGATTGTGTATTTTTTCCCTCCATTCTATTGATGTGAAGTATTACACTGATTGATTTTTGTATGTAGAACCATCCTTGCATACCAGGAATAGATTCCTCATGGTGATGGTATACAATCCTTTTAATAAGCTGCTGAATTTAATTTGTTAGTATTTTATTGAGGATTTTGTGTCAGTGTTCATGAGAGATCTGTTCTGTAGTTTTCTTAGAATGTCCTTCGTATCTGGGTAATTGTCAGCTTCATAGAATGAATTAGGGAGTGTTTCATGCTTAATTTTAAAAAAAAGTTAACAGTGAACTAGGAATAAGTGAAAAAATGTAACTTCATGCGAGGCATCTATGAAAACTTATAGCCAACACCACACACAGCCATAAAAGCCTGGATGTTTTCCCCCAAAGACCAGGGAGGGACAAGACACAGATGTTCCCTATCAGCGTGCCCACTCAACATCGTGCTGAGGTCCTGTGCAGCACCACAAGGCAAGAGAAAGAAAGAAAAGGTGTATATACTGGAAATGAAGAAATAAAATTGTCTCTACTCACAGGGGGCATGACTGTCCACAGAGGAACCCTCAAGAATTGGCAAAAAGACCCCTAGAAATAAAAGAGAGTATAGAAAGGCTGAAGAATTTAAGTTTACAATAATAAAAGCCACCTGTATTTCTATGTAACAGCAATAAGCAATTTTAATTTTAAAAAATTAAAGTATGGTTTATAACAGAATAAAAAAATGAAAACATAGGTATAAATCTAATGGAATATGTACACAACGAGAACTATCATCAAAACACTAATGAAAGAAATGAAGGAAGACACAAATAAATGAAAAACTAGACTCTGTTCCTGGATTGGGATAGTGTTATGATGTCGGTTATCTCCGAATGTCTAAAGATGCCAACAGGATTTTCTTGTCACTGATATCAACAAGCTGATTCTAAAATTATTTGGAAAGGCAAAGGGGCTCAAGTAGCTACAACAATTTGAAAATGAAGAACAAAGTTGGAGACCCACACTACCTGTCTTCAGAACTTCCTACAGCTGCAGAAATCAAACCAACATGAAGCAGGCGAAGTGGAAGGTACACAAATCAATGAAACAGAAAAGAAAAATAGAACCACCCTAAGTCAGCAACTTCTGATAGAAGTGTAAATGCAAGTTAACAAGATAGAGGCATATGTGGAATGACGTCTATCTGGTAAAAAAATAAAAGTGAACCTTGACCCATACCTCACACTTAATGTAAAAATTTAATCAAAATATCATAGACCTAAATATAGAGTGCGAAAGTTTTAAATTTTGACAAGAAGACATAGGAGAAAATCTGTGTGGCCTTGTATTAGGCAAAGAGTTCTTAGATTTGACACAAAAGCATGACCTAAAAAAGAAAAAATTGATAAATTGGACTTTATCAATATGAAACATTTTTGCTCACCAAAAGACACTGTCAAAAGAATGAAAAGACAAGTCACAGAGTAGTAGAAAATACCTGCAAGTCACACATCTGACCAAAATACTTGTATCCAGAATATATAAAGAACTCTCAAAATTCAATATCAAGGAAACCTAACAAAGGACAAAACCTAAAGATTTTGAAGAAATACCAAAAAGATGCATGGATAGCAAATAATCATCTAAAAAGATTCTCAAGATCATTAGTCATTAGGGAAATGCAAATAAAAACACAACAAGATTCTACACACCTTTTAGAATGGTTAAAATTAAAAACACTGACCCTGCCAAGTGTTGACAAGGAGGTGGAGACCTGGAACTCATACAGTGTTGGCAGAAATGTACAATTGTACCCCTACTTTGGAAAACTATTTGACAAATAAGCACATTAAAGCACATCTCAACACATCATTAGCCATCGGGGCAATGCAAATAAAAATACAATAAGCTACCACTGCATACCTATTATAATGGCTAAAAATTAAGAAAAAACTCACAACGTCAAATGCTGGCAAAGATGGATAGAACTAGAAGGCTGGTACATCGCCCGTGGAAATGCAAGATGGCCATGCCCCTTTGGAAAACAGTCTGGCAAGTTGGACATACACTTAGCATATGACCCAGCTGTGCCATACCTAAAGGTTTACCCTAGAGAAAACTCCTTATCACACAAAAACCTGCGCCCAAACAATGTTTATAGCAGCTTTGTTCATAATTACGAAAAACAGGAGACAGTGAAAATGTCCTTCAGCCACTGACTGAATAAACAGATTGTGCTAAATCCACATAACGTCGGAAAATAAGAAGAAATGAATGTCTATGTTCCAAACAACATGGATGAATCCCAGGTGCATTTTGCTAAGTGAAAGAAGCCAGACCCAAAAGGCTACATAACTGTATTTATAAGACATTCCAGCAAAGACACAGCTACAGTGATTACGAATCAGGGATCGCCAGGGGGTTTGGATGAAGGTAGAAGTTGATTACAGTGGGGCCACACAAGGGAATCTCTGAGGGTGACAGTTCTTCAGTATGTTGCCATGGTGGTGCACACGCAATGCATTCAAACCCACAGAGCTGCACACCACCACCTTAATGAAGAGGGGCGAGAAGGATTAATAGTTACTCGGCTCTGTGAGGGCAAGAGATGAATTTCCTGTCCCTGAGGAAGTTAAGGCCCTCAACCTGCTTTTTGCTGACTTTTTTGCCCTTATTATTTCTGCCTTCTACTTCCTTTTGGGTGTGCATTTTGTTTTGCTGGGCCATGTGCTCTCAAGATGTTTACATAGATAGTGTATGAGTGGCAATTTTTCAGAACAGCTATATATTATCAGAAATGCTTTAATTTCTGTTCACCAGGTGACCTAGGGGAATTATATAATCAAAGTCCCCTCAGGCTTTGAAGATTTGGTACCATGTCTTCAGGCATCTTGATTTGCTGAGTTGAAGTAGGATACCCATCTCTCTGGAACCTTTGTTTAGTGTCAGATATTTCACCAGTGCAACTAGACACACACCATTTTCCATTCATCTTGTCCCATAAGTGGTCAAAATTCCAAATCTGAAGTTTATGTTTCTGCCTGCTCTAAGGACTGTTCCCTTTCACTGCAAATAAAGTGATCCTATTTGATAAGCATCAGATCTTCTGGAAGTATCATCTCATCAGTTTTCTTTTCTACATTCCATCTCTTGATTATGGGGGGCTGTGCTGGAGACGCTTCCTTGTCTATTTTCCCAGTACAATGTCCCCCCTGTCCACTAGTGAGCCCTTCTGTTTGAGAGCATGTCCCACAGCTGATGAACAACTCTGATCCCACCTCAGCCCCAGGCGGCCCTGTCGCTGAGACTCGGATTCACATCCCTCACTTGCCACACGACACAACGCCTGGAGAGCGGGCATGGTGGGCTGGACACTGGCAGGGAGCCCGGAATCTAGATTTTTCTGTGGTGTTTGCTTAGAGAACCAAACAAGGGTGAGGTCACCCAGTCCTCAACCATAACAGACATTTTACAAGCAGCAAATGCTTTTGTGTAAATAAGCCAGAAGCAATAAGCTCCTGGGAGTCACTCAAAACACTACCAAGGAAAAGGAAGGTTCAGTGAGCCTCCTGCTTGAACAACACACACACACCAGGGGGTATAAAAGCTGGCACCTCACTCACACACACTCACACACACACCCACTCCTCCAGCCCACCGCCCACCATGGCCACCTCCACCCTGTCCATCTGCTCCAGTGACCTGAGCTACGGCAGCAGGGTCGGCCTGCCCGGGTCCTGGGGCTCCTGCACTGGCCCCTCCTGGCAGGGGGACAACTGCCCCGAGAGCTGCTGTGAGCCCCCCTGCTGTGCCACCAGCTGCTGCCAGTCCAGCTGCTGTGCCCCGGCCCCCTGCCTGAGCCTCGTCTGCACCCCTGTGAGCTGCGGGTGCAGCCCCTGTCAATCAGCCTGCACCAGCTTGTGCACACCCTCCTGCTGCCAGCTGTCTAGCTGCCAGCCCTCCTGCTGCACCTCCTCCCTGTGCCAGCAGGCCTGCTGCGTGCCCGTCTGCTGTAAGCCCATGTGCTGCAAGCCCGTGTGCTGTGTGCCCGTCTGCTCTGGGGCGGCCCCCTGCCCAGCACCCCTGTGCTGCCAGCCCATCCCCTGCCCCCCGTCCTGCTGCAGACCCTCCTCCTGCGTGTCCCTCATCTGCCGTCCCATGTGCAGGCCCACCTGCTGTGTGCCCGCCTCCCCCTGCTGTGCCCCCACCTTCCCCTGCCAGCCCAGCTGCTGCCACCCAGCCTCCTGCGTGTCCCTGTTCTGCTGCCCCGTGTGCGCCCGCCCTGCCTGCTGCTGACCCACTCTATCCCCAGGCCAGCCGGGCTCAGGCCCACCCCGGGACTGGCCCTCCGAGCCTCCCCTCAGTCCAGTCCTGACCTGTGTTAGGCAGCTGCCTCCCTCAGGACGGGGTTGCCCCCTGTGCCCACCATCCTGACCTGACCTCTGACCCCTGCCTCCCAGGAGGCACCCCCACCGCCTCTGGGTCACCTGTCCTTCCCTCCCTGTGTCTCTGCTCCTCGGGTCCCTGGACCTCCACTTCCAACCTCTGTTCCCCAGTAAACCCACTGCCCCACCTCACCGCCTCCTTTCCTTGGACACTCTTGGGGATGGGGGTCTCAGGGTTTTGGCCAGACATTGTCTCCTCCAGCCACAAGTACTTCTCGGACTGAGGCTGGGAGCTCCCAGAGGGCACGGCTAACTGCTCGGGGCAGGGCCCCTGGGTGGACCCCGACCATCACCAGGGGAGGCCAGGCCTGAGTGCCCAAGACATGGCCATGGCCGAATAGAGATTCCTGCCTGCCTGGGCAGCCTGGCTGTGTGGTCAGCACCTCCCAGCCACCCTGCCTTGTTCCAGCCCTCATGGTGAGGGTTTGTCCTTCCTCTGTGGTCTCTAGCGCCCACAGATCACACCCATTTCCTGGGAGAGTTCCTCCTCCTCTGGAAGGTCAAGTCCAGGGCTGGGTCCCACCATGGAAGCTGCTGGGCCACGTGTGTCCCCTCAGCACCCAGATCACCCACAGGCTGCCAGGTGGGTTTGCTGAATTAGGTGTTCAGTTAACATGAGGACCATGCAGGCTTCTAACTTCTGTGACCTGATAGTCATGTGGGATTGGCTCAGAGTTTAACATGGCAACGGCTTGCTAAAAACTATACTCTGCCTTAGCATTCAGGCTTGATCACCTTCCACTCTGCACTTTTAATTACATTAGGCTGGGAATTAATGGACTCTAAATTGCAGGTATGCATAATCAAAGATACATTGTTTCTATGTGATCTGGTTGGAAGCTGATGTGGGGCTAGAATTCCTGTGTTGGCCCTTGCATTGTAGTGAAGCCCACCTGACATTAAATTCACCAGCTTAGCCAACGTCAGGTGTGCAGTTCAGTGGCATTAGGTACATGCCCATTGCTGTGCAACCTCACCACCTCCTCCAGCACTTTGTGGTCTTCCCCAAAGGACACTGTGTCCCCATGAAACGCTGACTCCCCCGTCCCAGCCCCCCACCCCCATCTGACCTTCCGTCTCCGTGAGTTTGACTGCTCCTCATTCAGGGGGACGCACACAGTGCCAGGCCTTTGTGGGGGTGTCCAGCTTGCTCCACTCAGTGTCACCCCCTCAAGGTCCATCCATGTTGATGTCAGAACTTCCTTTTTAAGGCTGAACATATTCCATTGCATGGATGGACCACATTTTTCTTTTCCATTCCTCTGTTGGAGGACATGTGGGTTGCATCTACATTTTACCTATTTCGAATAATACCGTTGTGGACATGGGTGTAGACATCTCTCTGAGACCCTGCGGTCAGCCCTCCAGGGCACATGCCCTGCAGTGGAAATGCTGGGTCCTATGGGGGCCTGCCATACTGTTTCCTCTAACAGCTGCACCATTTAACAATCCCGGCAGTGCCCAAAGGCTCCAGTTTCTCCACATCCTTGCTAACACTTGCTGCTTTTGGTCTTTTGATTATAGCCATCCTCACAGGTGTGAGCCATGCATTTGGTTTTATCACAGACCATTGCTGCAGCAAGCCCTGGCCTCCCCTGCCCCGCCCTCACCTGACCCTCCCTCACCTGCCCCACCCTCTCCTGCCTGCCCCACCCTCCCCTGCCACACCCTCTCCTGCCTGCCCCACCCTCCCCTGCCACACCCTCCCCTGCCCTCTCCCTCTCCTGCCTGGCCACACCTGCCCTGGCCCTCACCTGCCCCGTCCCTC